CTTTGGGAGGCCGATGCAAGAGGATCGCGAGTTGAAAGCCAGCCTCAGAAACTGGGCAAGGCCCTGTCTCAAAATAAATAAATAATAAACAAATACATACATACATACATACAAATATCTGGGGTTGTGACTCAGTGGTTAAGCACCCTTGTAAAAAATAAAATAAAATAACCCACATCAGCCTGTACCCTCTATTGCTTGGGAGCAGGTGGCTTCCTCAAGCAGTCCCCGAGGCTGGGATCTGGTTACACGCTCCATCTCCCATGGCACGTGGCATTGCCCAGCAGCAGACAAGGCCAGAGAGCGGTCAAGACTCCTCCACAGGGAAGCTGTCATCTTTAGGCAGAGTTGGGAACAGCTGGGAGCCAGCAAATAAGAGGACACTTTCCCCGGGTTTGTGGACACTGTAGCTAAAAGAAGGCACCCTAGGGCCCAGAAAGGAGGCACCCCAAGTCTGGACAACACCCCAGCGCAGCCTGCACAGGACAAGATGCCAGGGTGGGAAGCCATGCACCCTTCACCCAATAAAACCCAGACATGTCATTCTCACAGCGAGGCTTGAAACCAGTCAAGCACTTTTTATTTATTAAAAACAAAAACCAAAGAACAAGCCTACTGGTCAGGTGACAGTCTCTGCATGCTACAGCTAGGTGCCCCTCACATCAGACACTCAGTGTTTGCTTTTGTGTCAGAAGGAACCTGTCACTTTTCCACAAGGGTATGGGCGGTGTTGAGGTACCCAGGGATCCCCAGCATCGTCCCACCAGCTGCGGCAATGCTGCCCAGAGCCCTGGAGGGATGAGAAGTGACCTAGTGACCTGAGGCTTCCTGGAGCAGAAGGCGTGGCTTGTAACTCAAGGTCCTGTCTCAGTGGGGTGCTACTAGTTACCCAGTGGGGTGCTATTAGTTACTGGGCACAAGGCACAGCCAGGCAAGCTGGGGTAGACTAGAACCCTCCATTGCATTAGAATTGCTACTGCTATGTTAGCCCCGGGGCCTTTTTTTTCAATATTGAAAGCAAAGGCCACCGGCTATGGCACGATCTGGTCCTTCCAAGGACCAAAGAGGCTGAGCCCCCTCTCTGGGGCCAAGAAGGCTTCCTTCGCAGGAGAGACAAAATCAGGAAGGCGGAATGTTGAGCCACGGGGGGCTGGAGGCCTTGCAGGCTAGCACCAGAGCAGGATGGCCATGCAGCAGGGGAAGCCGCTGCGGAAGGACACTCAGAGGGTGGTCCATGGGCAGGTGAGGGGGTGGAGCCTGGCTGGACCTCTGCAGCTCTGCAGGGGACCCTACTCCAGGTGGGAGCAGTTCCTACCAGGGGAAGCAGAGTGCCCTCACCCTCAGGCCTCCTTGCAAACCCATCTCCTGCTCACCTGGGCCAGGTCCCGCTGCCGCTGGGGAATCTTTGGTCTAAGGTATGGACGGCTGTCTGCACTGCACACAAGAGCCCTGAGAGGATGGGACAAAGAGGTCACCCATGGCTAGGCTGCAAGGTGCCCATTAAGAGGTGGGCACAGTGGAAGGAGGGCAGTCAGGTTGTGGGGTTGCTGCTGCAGTGCTGGGGTGGGACGCACGTGCCAGGCAGGCACTCCACACCGCGCCACGCCCAGCCCTCTTCTTAACCATGTCAGCTGCCAACTATTTGAGGGCAGGAGTGGTTTCCTCTGTAGCCCACTCAGGGGTGGACACTTAGTAATAAGTACTACACTTAGTAATAAGTACTTAGTAATAAGTACTGTCCAATTCTCGGCCCAATATTCTTCCCCAGTCCTGGGCAGTTTGGCGCCTGTCCTTCAGTGTGGCACATCTATTCATTCCTCCACTTTCCACCTGGCACTGAAATCCCTGGGGGCTCAGAAACACTTTAAGGCTAAGAACTTTGCCCTAGAAACGTACTCTATGCAGCACCTTGTGACAGAGGCTCAAATGACCCCTGAAAGCCTGGTGTGGCTCTAGCAGTTTCCTAGGAGGGTGGGGGCATGAAAAGTGGTTCGAGCTGGAGCTCAGCTCTCCCCAAGTCTCAGCCTGGGACAAAGGCCAATGTCACCAAATGGTGAAGACTGATTCTCAGCAGAGAATTGGAGCAAAATCCTGTTTTACCAAGTGGTGGTTCTCAAATTCAGATTTTTTCAGACTTGGTGGCACTAGGACAAGCTGCACATCTGCCCCAGCTTGTAAGATAAAGTGGCCGGCACAAGGCAGTGAGCGGAAGTGAGTAGGCAAAAACCCACCAGTGCCCACCCTTGGCTGGCACTTCTCTTGTGACCTATTTAAATGTTTGACCAAGGGGTGGTGACAGCTAACTTCAGAGACTGGCCCCCTGGGAGCCCAGTGCACATTTCACCTCTGAAGGAGCAGGAAGGTCAGGGCACGAGGAAGAGCAAACCCCCCCACCTGAGTCCCAGTGAGGCACTGATTGCATGAGGTGGGGCACGGGACTCCACCCTCCATGCATCGCTGTGCACCGAGTGGCTCCTGTTCCCCTTGCAGGATTGTCTCGAGAATAAAGGAGGGGACGTGGTGAAGAGCCGGTGAGGTGACCTGTTGGTATGTGGCATGGTGTCGTTGATGGCCCCAGATGTTTTCCCGGCCAAGACTCCAGGGAATTCTGCATAAGCTTCATCAGTTGCTCCCAGACTAGTGAGCATCGTCCGGGATACCGTAAACCTAAGTCCCCAAGCAAGAACAGCGAGGAGGGTCTCTGCCATAGAGACCCAGGCAGCTTAGTCGCCTGGGGGCATGTCCACCACTGCAGCAGTGAGCAGACACAGGAGTCCTCAGGCCACAGAGGTGACCCCAGCAAAGAACAGCCACCATGGAGGAAGGGGCTTCCACGGCCACAGTTCCCGTCAGCGCTAGAATAGTCTAAAAGGCAAGTTCTTTGACTTGCAGGAAAACGTCCTACCCACAGGAGGGCAGAGCAGGTCTGGTCCCACTGGCTGACCCCGGGGGGAGAGGGATGCGAGGCCACTGATACTCCTTCAGTGGACAAAGCGTGGAGCTCTTCACAGCCCGTGTTGGAGCCCCCACACCCTGGTCTACCCAGCGTCTGAGACGCAGTAGGTGCTTACAAAATGCCTGAAAGTGTCACTGAAACCAGAGACGAGTCAGAAAGAAAACCAGTCAGCTGTGTCTTTGGAAAGGTAGTCAGACCCCGTAAAGCAGCTCCACAAACAGGGTGATCAACAGGGTCCAAACCGCAGGAAAACCATGCTGGGCCTCCCACGCGGAGGGCCTCACATAGGGGTGGTCCTCTCCCACCTCCCTTTCTCTGCACTGCCACCTTCCTCCAGGTCGGGGCACAAATCAAGCCCTGCAAGAGAGAGCTCAGGCTGAGCCAAGGACGCAGGGCTGGCGTGCCACCGTGGACTGAGTGGGACGCCTGTGGAAGTGGCCAGAGCCCAGGGTACCGCCCGGGGCTGGGGTGCAGAAGAAGGCTCTCTGCACAGATCTTTGGCACGGCAGGTAGATGCAAGCATTCCCTCTAGCAGAGGGACACTGGGACGTGGCAGCAGGTGAACGCTGTGCACCGGAGGTCTCTGGGGCAGGGCAGGGCAGTGGGCTGGGTTCTAGGGCTCTCGTCACACACCAGCAGCCGGCACACAGAAGAGATCTCTGGGATGGGAGCTGGAAAGCCTGGGTCCCGATTCTACTTCTGCAGAATGGTGCCTCTTCAGTCAAATCGGTAGAAGGCTGCCCTGGTTCTCCTGGGGTGTACACACAGGAAGATCTCCTCCAAGTGCCAGAGAGAGCAGGAAGCCACGGCAGGGAGGGACAGAGAGGGACGGGCGGCCTCTGCCTGGTCCTGGGCGCCTGCCTCCTTCTTGGGCTCCTAATCACCATGCTTCGTTCTGCAGGGACCCGGCTGCTGGCCTGTGAGCCACCAGAGCCCCTCGTGGCTGGCAGGGGAGAGGCCACCTCAGCTCCCTCTGTCCCATCAGCCTCATCCCCTCAGGGGCACCAGCACAGGAGCAGGGAATAGGGTCTGTGCCAGCCAATCAGGACCCCACAGTCCCCCCAAGCTGGGGCAGCAGCTGCTCACCTCCGGGCAGCCTGCTATATATGCTGCAGGGGCCTGGGAGGGACATCAGGTGGGGGAGCATCTTACTGGCTTGCCTTTCCCTGTGGGGGAACTCGGGCAGCCTGGTCAGAAATCCTCTTTGCTCTCTTCCTGGCTAGCACGTCCTTGGCTGAATTGAGTTTCCTCATCTATGAATGGGCCTGGTGACGGAGGTCTCTGTGAGCACTAAACCATGAGTGCTAAGTGCCACCTCATATTTGGCACCTGTTGGCTACTGGGGGAGGGGGCGGTGCTCACAAGGGGCGTGGCTTGTGAAGGGACCCTTACTCAGACAAACTCGAGCCTCTGGTCCTAGGAAGACAAACATGAAATGTCCCAAGCAGGGGACAGGAGTTCTCCTTGAAGAGCCCCAGGTGGCGCAGAGCCTGCAGCAGGAAGTGAAGCGTGCTGGGGCCAGGGCCAGCCTGTGGCGCTGCTCAGGTCCAAGGCAGAAGACAGGAGCAGGGTGGCTGGTGGACCTCCAGGCCCCTCCTGGGAGAGAGGCATCTGCTGGGGCCTCAGAAGCTGGAGGGCCTGGGGCTCGGGGAAGAGGCCACTTTCCTGGGGACTGGCAACGGAGCTGATGCCCACCGGTCACCACTCTTCCTGGCACCAGGCATTTGGGAGACAGTGAGCAAAGCGCCTGGACTTCTAGAAACATGGAGAATCAGAGCAAGTCATGGTGGACCGGGCAGGCTGCCCCGTCCTGTGCCTCTCCAGGCAATGGGGGAGCCAGCGTGGAACTCCTCCTGGTGACAGGAGCTGATCCTGGAGGCTTGGGAGGGTCACCGCCACTGGTCAAGAGGAGCAGGTCTGTTAAGGCAGGGTGCTGGCGAGGACCCCCATGGAGCGGGGGCTGTGGCGTGCACCTTTGGGATGCCACCACAGGGGGAGACCCGGCCCCGGGTCAGCCGCTCACTCTCCAGCCTCCCAGGGGAGGAGCTGAATTGTGGAGTCGGATAAATTAAGAGGCCATTAAATACGTGGGGAGGACGTGGGCAGCAGTGGGCCTCCGGCAGGAGGGCGCTAGGGCTTCTTCCTGAGGTAGTTAGAGGGGATCCAGCCCTCCCAGGAAGGGGCCCCGCTGACGGCCTGGCACAGCCACCAGCCACTGCTGCTCTTCTCCCGGACTTCGAACACCGTCCCTTCCTGGAAGCTGCCCGTGTCTTCGTCTCCTTCAAAGTTGGCCACGGCCACGTACAAAGAGTCCTTCAGGCCGTCAATGTCGGGCAAGGAGGCCGCAGCTGCCCTCTCTCTGTGGTCCTCTGCTTTGCCGGGTGCCCGCGGCCCCAGCCCGCCTTTGCCCCCAGAGGAGTTGGAGAGGAAAGGTTTGGCCTTTGGGGGCACGAGGAGGGCACGGCCGGGGGCAGCAGCTGCCCTGCTTTCGCTGGCTTCCTGCTGTGGCCCTCTGATCTCCGGGAGGGGTCTGGAGGAAGACGAGGAGGAGCCTTTCTTGGGGGGCGGTGGTCTCCGGGGTGGGACCACAGGTCTCTGCTGGGTCGCCTCTTGGACAGGGACGGGCACATTCTTGGGCCCAGGATCGGTGGTCTTGGCTGGCCGCAGGGGGGCTCTGCAGGACAGCTCCTTTGGGCTGAGTCCGTCCTGTCTGCCAGGCCTATCCTGGGCACGGCCAGGTCCCTCCCCACCTGGAAGGAAGCTTCGGCTGAAGGCCATGTCTTGGCCCCCAGCAGCCAGGGCACTCTCCCCGTCCAGTGAGGATTTCTCCTGGGACTTGGCAGGCCTGAGCTTACTCCTAAGGTTGCAGATATCCACTTGGTCTCCGCCCTGAGGTGGCTCTGTCTTGGGGCAAGGAGCTGGTTTGGGCCTGACCTGAGGTTTGGACTTCAGGAATGGATTCTGGGGGACGGCTTCTGGCTTCTCCTCGGGCTCAGCCTTGGACTTGGAGACGGGCCGGAGGTTGGGCTTCCTCACTTCCTTGGCCAAGACCTTGTGGCCGCACTCCAGCCCCATGTCATTCTTCAGCTGGAATAACTTGCTTTTCTCAGGTTTGGGCTCTGGCTTCCTGCCGTCCCGGGCCGGGGAGTGCTTGGCCGGAATCATTGGCAGGATCATGCCAGGAGGCTTCGGCGAGGAGCCGCGGAGCTGCTCCAGCCTCTGCCGCTCCCTCTCCAGCAGCTCCCCCTCCGACTTGATCATGGACTCCTTCCGCGGAGGGAGGCTGGGCTTCTCCTCCAGGCCGGGGTCTGAGATCTCCTCGTAGCCTGCCGATGAGGATGCGTCTGTGGACGCCTTCCTCAGGGCCTCCTTCCCACCCTTCCAGTCTTTGCACCAGGACATCCCAGAGTCGAGGGCACCGTGCGGGGTATCAGGCAGGGGCCGGGAGGGGCCCATGGCTTCGCTGCCCACGTTGTTCTCCACTGCCGCTGCGTCCCCCAGCCGGAGCTGGGCCACCTCGTGGGGCAGGGGAGCCAGGAAGTTGGGTCTCGAGGCATTGCTGGTCTTCTTGTACTTGTCGATGAAGGTTGCTGGGGCCCACCCTTCCTTGTCTTCGATCTGAATGTACCACCAGCCGCTCAGATTCTTCTCGATCACCTGTAAGGGGGACAGAGGTTAGCACGGTGGCAGTGTGACATGAGGGCAGGCAGATCAGAATGGTCTGGAAGAACCCACATGCCACCCAGCACTGGCAGCTGTGCCTTTGAACTCTGCAGGTTCTCCTAAAGGCCTATGGAGCCATTCCCCTGCCTTAGCACATCTTACAGAGGGCAGGTTCTCATCCAATATGATTTGTGTGTGTGTTTTTGAGACAGGGTCTCACCTTGTTGCCCAGTCCACCTTGGGACTCTGAGCTCTAGCCGTCCTCCCATCTCAGCCTCCCCAGTAGCCGGGGTTATACTCGTGTGCCACCGCACCTAGCGGGTTCTTATACGAGTTTGGATTCCTCCAAAAACAGTCACTGAGATCTGGACTTGAGTGCAGGTAGTTAATTTGAGAGGGAAGCCTAGGGCCTTCAAGTAGGGAAGTGGAGCAGGGGAGAGCGGAGGTCAACTGGGGCGTGAGCCACCAAGGACCACCTGAAGGTCCTGCAGACAGTGCTCAGAAGGGTCCCTCGGGGGTGGGGCATTGATCTGTGGCCACCAGCATCTCCCAACAAGGGCATCAACTCCCCTGCCGTCTGGGAGGTGGGACGCTGCCAGCCTGCAGGGACATGTCACAAAGAGCCCAAGTTACCCTGATCCCATTTCCTTGGTTGAGCACCGGATGAAGTAGTCACCCAGTGGCTCCAGGACACCCTCACGCTATACCCAGGGTGCCGAGGCTGATGGAGTCAGCAGGCTCCTTCCTGTCCAGCCTCCTTGGCACCCACACACCCACCGACTGCAGCGGTGGCTGGAATCACCCACAGCCTGAAAGATCGTGGGTTTCTTGGTTCTTTTTGGTGCAGGATCAGATGGCTGGATTGACATGGGTGAAGGTGCACAGCCCAGAGACTATGGCTGAACTGTGCTACGATATCCACACGCTGAAGCCTTAACCTACCCAGTATGTCCGAACGTCACTGTACTTGGGCGGGGTCTTTAAGGAGGTAACTAAGTGACAACGGGAGGCCCAAGTCCAAAGTGACTGATGTCTTCATAGGGGGAGAGGATTCGGAAACAGAGGCTGGGGGCCCACCACACAAGGACACAGGGAGCCACCCAGAGCCCAGCAGGGAGGTCTCAGGAGAAGCCAGACCTGCTGACACCTCGATCCTGGACTTCAGCCTCCAGAACTGTGGGAAGCAAACCACTGCTGTGTAACCCGCCTGCCTGTGGCGCTGTGTCCAGCAACCCCAGCAGACGAACATGCTGCCCTCCCTGGCAGAACGCGACAGGAGGTCTGACTATGCGTTCAGCTCCCTGTGATACGGGGGCGGTCGTCCTACTGAGGAGGCAGGCAGGCGGGCTCCAGAGCCAGACCCTGTGGAGGAGCCAGGCCTGGGTGAGAGGCTGCCGGGGGCAGAGGACTGTGGCCGTGGTTCTGCTGCTGCGGCGCGGAGGCCTGGCTGGAAAGGGATGGCACCAACAGACTGAGCCAGGAGGCTGGGCCTGCCCGTGGTCCTGAGGTCAGTTTTAGCTCATGGCCTGCTTCCCAAACGGCCTGGGCAAGCCTCGTGCCCCAGATTCCAACCCGAGCCGGGATAATGATGAAAACAGCAACATCCACCTGGGAACTCCACTCACAGCACCGCAGGCAGGCGCCCGGCAAGTGCTGGCAGCCAGTGTGGTCCGTCCTTCAGTTGGAGCGGAGGTCCTTGGGAAAAAGCAGGCGGCACTGGACAAGCACAGGATGAGCGCTGTGAGCGCTGACCGCGAGGGCAGCGCTGGGCACAGGGTCCTCATCAGCGCTCGCGTGAACCCACAGTGCCAAGATCAAGTCCCACACCCGAGGCAGCAGAAACAGGACCACAGACTGTGCACCAAGGAGGATCTGTTACGCTTCTGCTCTGCGCACAGGATTGTGGCACAGAGACCTGGTTCCAACCCAGGCTCCGCCACTTACTAGCTGTGTGACCTTGGGGATCCATTTACCCAGCTCCTCTGAGGCTCATCTGTAAAAGGGGCTGATGATTATGACCTCGCAGGACTTCTGTAAAGGTTCATTATCAAGTCAGTTGACAAGATACATGCGCTGAAGAGGCACGTGTATCATCATCACATCGTCACCACCGTCACTGTCATGATCATCATCACTACTGCAGTCATCATCATAACCACCTCTATCACCACCACCACCACCACCATCGTCATCGCCACCACCATCACCACCACCACCATCACCATCGCCACCACTGTTATCATTGTCACCGTCACTAATATCACCACCACTGTCACCATCACCATCACCAACATCATCATCATCATCACCATCACTGACATCATCCCTACCACCACCACCACCACCTCATCATTGTCACCACCACCACCATGACCATCATCACTACCACCACATCACCATCACACGATTGTTATGATCATAACCATCACTAACATCGCTAGCACTATCACCACCACCAAGACCATCAACATCACCACGACCACTGACATCAACCCCCATCACTGTCACCACCACCATGACCATCATCATCATCACCACCACTGACACCACCCCCCACCTGATCACTGTCACCACCACCGTGACCATCATCACCGTAAACCACACCCCCGGCAGCCTGGACGAGGAGCCCAGCTGTTGCGGCAGCCCTACTGCTAGGAAGCTGTGGCTCCGTGAAGACATCTTGAAGACTCTGGTGATTGTCAAGTGAATCAGGAGGCAAAAATGGGAAGGGAGAACAGAGCATGTGGGATTTATCAGAAGGAAAGAGCTCTGCCTAAGCCACCATCTTCAGACCACTCCTTCCCACCACGTCCCTCAGGTCACCTCTGGCGGGGCCTGATGTCATGGGGAGTAGGGCAGAGGCTCGAGGCTGAGTTGGAGGGCGCTTGCTGGGGAGGACGGCTGTGCATGAGGCGTTCGCTGGTCAGCGCCAGTGAAGGTGGGGAGGAGAGCCAGAGGGAACAGGTGTGGTCTGCTCGGAGGCCCAACCAGCCTCAGCGAGGGCAGACGAGACGCCCGGGGCTGGGCCCTCTGCTGCTCTTGTGTGCCTGGAGCTGAGCCAACAGAGTTCCCTGGGCTTCTTGTCCTATCCAAGGTCCAGGAGTGGGAAGGCCAGTGGAATGGCCGGAACCCTGGCCCTAGGGACCCCTGGGCTTGCTGAGCGGGCAGGCTGGAGCTGGGGCGCTGGGGCCGTCTTCCCTGCTCCTGGGAATGGTCTGGATGGACTGGGCTTGGAGGACAGTGGCGACAAGCAGAGACAAAGCCCCGCCCACACCAGGCGCCTCTGCCAGCCAGGTCTGAAGCAGACCTACAGCACCTGTGTGGTGATGGTGACCGTGTTGTGGCCATGATGATGGTGACGGTGAGGACCCCTGCTCGGGCTGCCTGAGCACACTGGCACCTCAAAGCAGAATTCCTCCCAGTATGCTGAAAACCGAGCTTTCAGAAGCCAGTGTCAACTTGCTCACGTCCTGCCTTTGTCCCCGACTTCTCCTGCCTTTCTCCACAGCCGAGCTCCTAAAGCGTCCTGCGACCAGTGTCCCCATTCCTTCGCCTCCCACCCCTGTGATCAGGCTGATGCTCCCACCTCTCCACTGGGTACTTCCTTCCTGTGTCACAAACACACTGTCAATCACCTGCTCCTTCAAGTGGAAGCCACAGCTTCCGTTTGCCATCATAGGTCACTTTCCTCTTCAAACACGATGTCCAACCCCCCTGGGCAGCTCCAAGGGGTACCCTCAGGCTGCTCGGCTTCCTCACGCTCAGCTCCAGCCACATAATGTTCCCTCCCAGGCCCCATCTCCACCAAGTCCCACGGAAATGACATCTTGATGTCCCTTACATTTCACATGGAGGCACTAGGTACACATGTGCATAATTAATGATGATATCGGGGCAGATTTTCTGTTAAAACAGAACTCAGGATTCCTCCAAATTCCATCCCTCTATCTCTTGACTCAAATAAGAGCAAAGTGAAATCACAGAAGGGATCAAGAATCTTTACTTTAGCCAGGTGCGGTGGCCCACGTCTGTAATCCCAGAGGCTCGGGAGGCTGAGACAGGAGGATCTCAAGTTCAAAGCCAGCCTCAGCAACAGTGAGGCGCTAAGCAACTCAGTAAGACCCTGTCTCTAACTAAAATATGAAATAGGTTGAGGATGTGGCTCAGTGGTCCTCTGAGAGCATGTGGCACACGCATCCACCTGTGTGAAGTGTCCAGGCAGGCCACCCGCAGACGGCAGGCCGGGGCGGGCGGCCAGGGCTGCAGGTGGGGGTGCCGGGTGTTCTGCAGTGACTCTGACTCTAGTGGCTGACTCACCTCGACCTTTAGGCCGGCCTGGAAGCTGATGCCGTCGGGGATGGTGGTCTGGAACTCGGCGATGGTGTAGTATTCCTCCTCCACGTGGGGTGGGACGGGCGGCTTGGGCAGGTTGAGACCCCGAGGCTGGGAGGACACACACAGGGCTCATTTCAGGGGGAACAAGCACCACAACATTACTGGGGTGAGACGAGGGGCCCGGAACACGCGGTCACCATGGAAGGTGCTGGTGGACCGACTTAATTCTGACGGACACATGGAGGACACCACTAGCATCTCCCAGTGAGTTCTCACTGACCCTCCAACCTCGGAGATGAGTGGACACACAGGGCATCTGGCTGCACCATGAAAGCGTGGGGCAGGACAAGGTCTGAGGTGAAGTGGCCGCAGGGCCCGGGAAGAACAGGCTTGTGGGCCAGGCTATCTGGGTGGGAAAAACTGGTGACGGTGTGGCCCTGGGCAGTGGTCTCCCCTCTGAGCCTCAGTTTGGCCTCAGGCAGAGGGAACATGGAAGGTCTCAGCCTGGTGGCTGGCTGCAAGGGTTACACCGGTCACCACAGTGAGTGGCCAGTGCACTGCATGGTGCTCAGTGAATGGCAGGCCTTCCAAAACAGGCCAGCAGCTCACAGCACGGTGGGACAACCCCTATCCAAAACGCGTGGGCCCAGGAGAGCTTTGGGTTGGGATCACCAGCACCACATAACGGGAAGTCTTGGGGACCCAAGTCCAAGCGTGAAATTCTCTCATGCGTGTTTTGCATCCACAGAGCCTGACGATGGCGTTAGACTATATTTTTAGTGTGCCTGCGTTTTGAAAGCAGCCCAGCAGGTGAGGTCAGGTGTGGAATTTTCTGTAGTGTGTCATCTTGGTGCTTAAAAAGTTTGATTTTGGATATTCAGAGAAGGGAGGCTCCACCTGTTAACAAGGCAGCTGGAGAACCCCAGACGTGGAGCAGGACATCAGAACGGCACCACAGATGCCATCCCTGAGCCTCCTCAGCCTGGGCCTGGGCAGAGGATCTGGAGAAGTGGGGCGAGAGCAGGACACAGAGGCAGAGGACACTGGGCCGATGGCTTCCCTGCCTGGACCCGTCTTTCCACCTGCAGAGGGGACAGTGATCTGCACTGCCTGCTTCACGAGGCTGTTGCGTGGACAGGAAGAGAGCTCTGGACAGGGCAAGGGCCTGGGAGACCTGCGGCATCCCTGATGACCACAGACCAGGGTCCACTTACGATGGTCATGTCCCGGCGAGGAGGGGGTCTCTGCCTCATCTTTGGTGATCCTGTGGAGAAGAGACATATTTCCATCACGGCAGAGCTCCGTGTGTGAAGTTCCTGACGTGGACACCAGGAGGGGCCAGCTGTCCTGCAGAGGGTGGGGCGCAAGCTCCGTACCAGTCAGCTTGCTGCCGAGACCCTCCCGGGAGAGAAGGGCTGTCTGCGCTCTTCCCTGGGTGGCTCAGGACCCTGTTAGTGTGGCACTGCCTGGATCTTTTCCACTCAGGAACCAAAGGGGACAGAGTATGTCCTCAAGCAACAGAGAGCTTTCCAGCAAGGGCAAGAAGTGCAGGCTTCAGAGCCACGTGGAGAAGGGTCCCGGCCTGGCTCCAAGGCTCGAGGGCCTCCAGCACAGGACAAATGGGTGACTGGACTCTCTGGACCACGAGGCTGTGTCCTGTGGAACAGGCACAGCATGCACCTCCTGGGCAGGGGACGTAAACATCGCCAAGGCTCTTGGCCAGCGGTGGGCACGCAACAGATGTTGCTGGGCTTGGCTCGTGGCCAGGGGAAGCCCAGACTGAGCGATGCCCCAGGTGAGCACAGCCGAACACACCTGCGCTTGGGGGCCTCACCCTGGAGCCAGGCTGCCCAGCTCTGGGACTCGGGGTCCACAAGAAGACCACTCTGGTCAGGGGGAAAGTCACTCACTCTGCCGGACATCGCCATCGGGCGCCACGCGGCCTTCGGTGCGGCCGTCCCTCTGGTTGTTGAGCAGCTCCTTCTCCCTGGCCACTGCGCTCTGCTGCCGGGAGACGCCGTCCAGGTCGAGGGTGCCCGAGGGGGCAGACGAGCCGGGGCCCAGCTTCGGGGGCAAGGGCTCCCCGCTGGTCTTCTTCAGGTAGGAGGCGGGGGCCCAGCCCTCTTTGCCTTGGTACCTGGGAGGAGGAGGAAGGGAATGTGGTCAGGCCCATGGGAGGTCACCAGGCTCCTGCTGAGAGTCACTCTCAGGCCCCAGTGGGTAGGAACAACAGGCCGGACTGCCTGGGGCCAGGTCTTCCGATGACACTGAGCCCTCTGCCAGGCACTGCAGACCCTTCCAACGGGGCCTCTGATGGCCTCACACAGCAGCCTCCAGGCCACTGCTCTGCCCAGCTGCAGTCTCCTAAACGCCCCGAGCCTCTGACCCCGGTGCATACTGCCCTTGGTGATCCTTGACTGTCCCTTTCCTTCCTGGCTCTGCTTAATTCCATTCCTCACGAGAGCCTCTCCCACCCTCCTGGGGAGGAGGCCCACCTCCACGCTGCCCTCATGTCTCCGGCAGGCTCTGCCATCCCAGCGCCATGACACGCGGTGGCACCACCAGTTGGAATGAAGTGCTGGGGAGGGCACGGTAAGTTAAGTCCACACTGGTGCCTGGGTGTGTGAGCTGAGGGGGAACAGGAGGACGGCAGACATGCCAGTGGGCATGGTGCTGAGGGAACCGCCACAGACCTGTCACCACCACTGTGACGGCTTCACAGTGGTCCCCTCGCAACCCTGCAGTGAGGACGACAGCGTGGCAAGGAGGCTGGCCTCGTGGGCACTCTCCTGGCAGCCTGCCCCTCGCCCTCGCACCACTTCTGTACTTAATACCAGCAGACCCGGGGGCAGGGAGGCAGGCTGAGCGCCCCCCCCGCCCCGGGTGACATGCTCCAGAGTCTGAAGCCTAAATGTCTACACCTGCCCTCAGGTGATGGAGGAGTACAGTGGAGATGCAGGTGCACCCAAAATACCGTACAAAATCTCACGGCTCTGTGAACAGGTGCCTCTGAGATGAGAACGAGTTCCGTGCTCAGACTCGGGTGTGTCCCTGAGTCACCTCAGTCCGCACGTGCCACTATTCTAAAACTCAAACCTCTGAAATCCTCCCCACGCCCGGTGCCGAGCACTGGGATGGGGTCTGTTTACAGACGGAGGCCGAGTGCCGAGGGGAGAAGCGCCCAGCCGACGTCGCGGGCAAGCCTGGCAGGTGGGCATCCAGACCCCTTAGCTGCCGTCTCTTCCCGACAGCCCTGTGCTGGTGCAGAGCTCGGCCCCACCCAGGCTGCTTCACCTTGGGTGAGATGCCTGTCCAGGGGGCGAGGAGCCGGCCTGGGCCAGCTGCCACTCAACTGTGGGCTGCTCGGGTCCCGGACGGAGCAGCTCACGGCCCCCAGACAAAACGCACCAAGTACAGTGGCCACTCAGTCCTCTGCGCGGCAGGGCTGAGATCAACAGCCATGACCGGAGGGGGCCTCCTGGACAGAGGTGTGCCGGGGCAGCCGCTGGGTGCACACTCCTTCTGGACTCCATGTTTAGTGACTTCACGCCGTTAGCTTGAAATTGGCCAGAGTGGAAGTAGCCACACTGTGGAAACTGTCCAGCATCACAGCTCGGAGCACGTGGGCTCGGCGTTGGCCAGCACCCACAGAGGGGGCAGCCAGCCATGCCTCTGAGAAAGCAGAACAGACCCAACAGACCAGTGGGAGGCTGCCCTCCTGTCAAGAGCCACTTAGAGGGTCACAGCCCTGGGTTCAATGAGAACAGGCCTCCATGACCACAGGCCACCGCTCAGCGTCCCTCAGCCTTCGAGTATTCTGAGAAGGAATAAAACCTGACCTAATTGGTCCACATCAGGCTGCACATGATCCACGTCCTCAGCTGCATACAGGTTGTCACGCAGGGACAAAAGCTACGGGGAGGAAGCCCGCAATCGGAAGCGGGTGGCCAAGGCCCAGGCTTACCCGGGGTCCTTTGAGCCTCAGTCACGGGCTCGGCTGCCCTGTCGGCCATCCTACCATAACCTCCTGGGAGACCAGGTGCAACCCAGTGGCTCCTGAGTGCCAGCCCCCTGGCTCCAGGATGACTGGATTCCCAGCACGGTGACAGGAACCGGGGATGTGCCCAGCGGCCCCAGTGCTGTGCGAAGCCCACCAGGAGGTGCAGCCGCCACGCACCATGCAGCCCCCTGCTCCCAGGGCCACCAGCAAGAGAAAATGGGGACTCCAGAGATGGTGCAAACACAGGTGCCCGGGGCTCAGCGAGCCTGGCATGGAGGCACTGAGAGCAGCGAGCACAGGGACACGGTGGCCAGCACAACAGGTGCCTGTGACCTTTGCCAAGTACCGTGGAGTCCCACGGCCGTGCTGCACTTTCACAGGAATGGCCAAGGCACAGCGCATCACTACCACGTCAGGGTCACAGCGCCACCAGGCGACCATCAGGGTCACAGCGCCACCAGAGGATGGGACCTCCGCTGAAAGCTGCAGGGCGCTCCTCCTGGTGTCCCTGTGGTCTCCGCTGTCCCTGCGACCCTGCTGTGTGGCTTGTGACCACACGTCCTGACACTGTCCTCCTCACTCCCTCGTGTCTCAGCTCTGAGGTCCCCTCCCTCAGGAAGCCCCTGAGCGGGGGAGCACCCCCTCTCTGCACCCCAGCGCCCCCCACGTCCCTGCAGCACTCTGGCAGCCTCGCCGCCCTGCTCTGTGGTGACTGTCCCCACTCGCTCTTGCTGGGGAAACAGTGGGGCTTGTTCGGCTCCACCGCAGGCTAAGGAAGTGCCCGGGGGCAGCCTCCCGCCCTGCAGCTGGATCTGGGGATAAATGAAACCAGAGGCCCGAGGAGGGTGACCGTGGTGCGGGGTTTGCACCACATGGTCTCAGTGGGGCTGCAGCAGGCGACTACTCACGTGGGCAGCCTCAGCTTCCGGTCACTCATCACAGAACATCTGGAGATGGAGACCAGTCTTGCTTAACAGGGCTCCCGCTGACTGGCTCCATGTGTTTGGAGAAGGCAATTTTGCTTATTAAGGGTTTTTAGGGAAGGACGTGGGTAGGGAAGGAGGCCAACGGCACCGAGAAGCGTCCTTCCACAGCCCAGGCAGAAACTTCCCTCATCTGCAATCCCTTACAGACCTGGAGGCTGGAGCCTGCATGACCCTGAAACCGCCCGCGACAGCGGGAGCCAGCGGCGGTACCTGATCTTCCACCAGCCCTCCAGGTTTTTCTGGATGACTTCCACCATGGCCCCTCTCTCCAGGTTCATCTCATCCTGGTCGCGGGCTGTGTATGGGTAGATGACCGTGTACTTCTCCTCTGCAGGGAGAAAGGACATCGGGTGAGAAACAGACTAAGTGTCCCAGGACTCTGATCCCTGGGGTGACGCGGAGGCAGACTTGGCCTCACCTGCTGTGGTTCCCAAGGTGCCAGCAGCATCAGGACCCAGGACCCAGGGCAGGTCCAGTCCCTTGAAAGCACCAGCAGCACTTCCCCCGTCCCTTCCCAGGCCTGTCCTTCAAGGTCAGTGTCCTCGACCACCTCATGCAATATTCCAGCTCGTGGCATCCGCGTCCCCGTCCTCAGGCTGATGGCCCGTCCAGGGACGGCTTTCTAACGCGCACACACTGCGCGTCCTGTCCTGCGTCTGTGAGCGCCGCTGGACTGTGAACCCAGGAGCCGAGCTGTGTCCGCCCCGGCCAGTCCCTCCCCTAGCACTGGGCATGAGCCTGGGATATCGCTGCTTACGGGTAAAGTAGCCAGCACTCAGTAACTGGACAAGTCCCCAGGCCGGCTGGAGCCACTTTGCTCACACAGGGCCAGTTACACCCTCGGGGCTCCTCGCCTGGGAGAGGGGAGAATTCAGAGATGAGCTGGACTTGGGCAGCAGAAGTTTCAGACTGAAATACCCCCGAGGTGGGGACGGCCAGCCACGTCCATTCCCTAGCTGGCAGGTCTTGACCTTTCACTAACGATGCTCGAGGCCCTGGGTCCCCAGCAGCGGGCAGCCCGGGGCCAGGCTTCGGGGCGCTGCTCACTGCTGCCCAAGCAGAGGCTCCAGAGAGCAAGGCCAGCCCTGGGGCTGAAGTGGAGAGATGTGGATGCCATCCTGGGGCCTGGCAAGGAGAGGGGAGGCTGCCTGCTCCGGTTACAGTTCAGTCACCAGGTGACGGAGCCAGGTGCCAAGGCTGTATGCTGGCGTGGCCTCGGTGACTCTGAGAAACGCTACAAGCCATTGGGGCCACCCCTTGCTGCAGAGGGAGGTGGGAGCACTGGGGTCTGTGTGAGGACCTGGCAGGTGACCTGCTCTGCGGGGGTGCACGGTTCCTCAGCAGTTAGCAGCTCCCAGGCCCACGGAAGCCGAGGCTGGGCGCTGGCCGTGGTCAGCGGAAGGGGGTGCTCAAGGCCGCACAGAGGCTCTGCCTGGTCTGGGCTGCAGGGCTGCTGTGTGGGCCCGAGTGTGGGCGCAGTCAGCCCTTTGACCCTGGCCTCCCGGGTCCCCTCACCCTGTGGCTGCATGGCACGGGATTCCCCAGCACCCACGAGGCTCTCTCTGGGACCACGGAGGCCGAGCAATTCCAGACAGGTGCAGTGAAGTCCCTGTAGGAGTGTCATGGGTGCTGAAGTGGCCTGTCTGGCACCCATAGGCCCTCCCCTGGTGGTCTGCTAGCCTCTGCCCATGGGAGGCTGGGGAGGCTGGGGAGGCCAGGCTTCCCACCTCCTGGGTCAGGGAATGGCTAGGTGAGCCCGGCCAGCCTCAGTGCTGCACCCTCCCGCCTCTGTGACTGGTTCAGGGATGCCATGGGACCCAGGTGGGTCAGCAGGACCCAATCCTGGGGCTTGAGTTGAAGGAGAAGCCCTATTTTTGGTGGATGTCCCTGAAGGTGCCTAGAACTACTGTCACCACAGAGAATGGGGCCAACAAGGCAGAGAACAGGGCAGAGAGGTGGCAAGAGTTGCAGGTCCTGAGGACATTCTCAAGCCCCTGGATAAAGCCATGCCTGAAGCTAGCCCTCCACTGGGCTTTCCAGGGACATGAGTGAATAGACCTTGCTTCTGCCCACCCAACTCAGAAGGCCTGATGGCAGGAGCAGGCTGCGGGGTCAGTGTTACGGTTTTTAAGCTGGGAAAGTTCCGGGCCCGGGGCTGACAGGGCTCGGGCTCCCCCTCCCTGACCCCCATGCCGACACACACACAGGAGGACAGACCAGCGCTTCTCACATGCAACAGGCACGGGCAGTGCCGGGCAGAGGCTCATGCAGATGTCCAGGCACCCAACGGGCAGACAACTCCGCGGTAGGCACCTTGGCGCCAGCTGGAGGAGTACAAGTCCCCCAGCGTCCGGCGGCGGCCCACGGGCCGGGGCAAAGACCAGTACCTCCAGGAGACTGGACGGGCAGCATGTGGAGGGGAGGGCAGAGACAGAGGTGAGAAGAAGGTACCCAAGTGTCCGGGGGCCAAGGGGGCACAGGCCCCTGTTCCCCGAGAGGAATCCTGAGTCAGTGCTGAGGCCCTGGAGTCTCAGGGAGGCCGAGCACCTGCTTATCACCTTGAACTTGAGTGGAGAGGGGACCAGTGGACACGATTCTATCCCTAGCACAAGTGGAGATGGCACCAAGGGAAACCCTTGTGGGAGAGGAGGGAAAACATGGCCTCTCTGCCTCCCTCCAGCTGTGGGACCTGGGGCAAGTGCTCTACCTCCCTGAACCCTTTCCCCGTCTGTTAGGTGGGAGCAGTACTCAGTCCCTCACAGAGGCACGCACACGCCGTATCATGGACTGCCTGAGGGGTTCCAGGTCCCATGTAGTGGACCGCCTTCCTCAGCCTGAGCTGGCTGGCCCCTACCACTCGGTGGGCCCCTGAGACACAGAGCAAAGCAACTCTGAGGTGTGCTGGCTGCGGTCTGACTACATGAAAGCCACGTGCAACCCCTCTTGCTGACCTCTGAGCTGGAGGGCACCACTCCTTTTTCTTACCCTGTTTTTGGCAATACTGAGGACAGAACCCAGGGGCAGTGACCACTGAGCTATAGTCCAGTCTTTTTTATTTTTTATTTTGAGTCATGGCCTCGCTAAGTTGCCCAGGCTGGTCTCAAACTTGTGATCCTCCTGTCGCAGGGGTCACAGGTGTGCACTGTCCCTGCCCTGCCCCCTCTTCTGATACATATAGACTTAAGATGGCTCTGTGCTTTCTCCCCGGGGTCCAGGACCAGCTGAGGCACAGGGCAGCTGGTCCAGTGCCTGCCCATGATTACTGTTCCTGTTGCTTTGCATTTAGCATTTCTTTTAATTTTTAAAAACCTCCATGTTGTAGATATCACTCTGCCACTATCAGATGAGGAGGCTGAGGCTTAGAGAGGTCAAATGTCCATCTCAAGACCACTCAGTGAGCGTGTGGCACAGCTGAGATTCAGGTCCAGTCTGCCTGGCTCCATGGCACCTGTCTATTGATGCAGGTAAAGGGGGGCTTTGGCTTTAGGAAGCTACTGGGGGAGAGGGAGCCTTAGCCTTGCAGTGTGACAGGTGTCAGGACCCCCGTAGGGAAGGGTGCTGGGGAGACGGAGCATGGGCACTGCCAGGGCCATTTACACCTGCAGAGAGCTGACATCTTTAAGCAGGCGGGGTCAAAGATCTCGAATCCGAGTGTCCTGCCACAAGAACTCCAGAGGCACAGTGAAGGGTGGACCTGGATCAGTCTGGGGCCCTCCTGAGGGTCCATGAAGATGTCAGGCCCAGCTCGGCCACGCTCACCCCAGGGGCTCTCAAAGGCCCCTAGAAAGGATGGACAGCCTCCCGCCCACCCCACAGTGGGCTTCATCCACAGGCTGTCCTTGGGCCGAGCCCGTGGCCTCCTGTGATCCGGGGCAGCAGCTGCCCAGGCTCCCTACCTTCTTCAGGCTGCAGGGAAAACTCATCCTGCCCAGCGTCCTGCCCTTCCAGGCAGGTGGCAGGGACCCAGCCTTGCTCCTCAGCCGTGCTGACGAACCACCAACCTGGGGACGGAGAGCAGAGACGTCAGTGGTCTCAGAATGGGATCATAGGCGTCCCCCAGCACCTGGGCACTGGCCACAGCACCCCAAGGGTCCAGAGGATGTCCAGTCCTATATACAAGATGGGGCAGTAACAACATGACCAATCACACCTCCTGGTCCCCTTGAGATCACCTCTGCAGGACCTACAAGACCTCACGTGACCCAAATGCTATGTGAATAGTGGCTCCAGGAACTGTTTAGGGATAGTGACAGGAAGCGGTATGGACGTGGTCAGTTTCGATGCCTTTTTGCCCTGAACATTGGCTGAATCTGAGGATGCGGGCCAGGGACACGGAGGCCGCTGAGCCTCAGCCGCTGCGTTAGTTAAGGCTCAGGGAGGCTGAAGAGCCAGGAATCCCGGAAGGACACGACGGCCCAGATCAGCAGCTCACCGCCAAAAACAGGCCGGAGAGAAACTTGTTCCCGAGCCTGGGACAGGGAGTGAAGGGGCAGCTCAGGGAGAACGGAGAAGGCTCACCGTGGCCGGGCCCTCACCCCACCGTCTCAGAGCCAGCACCCACCAGCCCACCGCACAGAGGGGGCGAACCCAGGTCCACATCCACAGGCGGTGGCAGGGCAGGGCTGTGTGCCACTGGGGCACGGCCTAATGGCTTCTCCAGGACTTGGATTCTGCATTTGTGCATGTCAAGGGATGTCCAGCTGCCAGGGCCACTGCTGGAGAGGCCTCACACCAGAAAACAGTCAGCCTCTGCACCTGCCAACTCTGCATCCACAGATTCAACCAACCACTGAATCAAAACTACACGCCTGCGTCTGTGCTGAGCCTGTAGGTGGTGTCCCCCGGCACCTGGACACTGGCCCCCTAGGTCCATAAGGACCACGCCCTTCACCGTTGTTCCCTGAACAACTCGAGTAAGATGTGCCCAGGTGACATGCCAGTCCGCATTATTCTATCCAAGGGCCTTGGGCACCCATGGAGTGTGGAACCTGTGGGGTGCTGAACCAGTCCCCTGCCATGCTGAGGGGTGACCGTCTGCAGCCCGCTGTCTGCTTGAGGACTGAACATCCACCCCTGTGGATACACCAACCCCCCATCCCGACCCTGCTCCTGTTCCCGGCAGGCCGTCCTTCCTGACTTGACTTGAGCAGGTGGCCCAGGGCTCACGTCATGCTGAACTCCCGAGGGCGTGTCCTGGCCACCCATGTGTTCTGTGCATGTCCAGCCTCAGGAATCAGAGTCACAGGCCTGAGGGCAGCTGGAAGGGTCTGGGACCCTGGCCGGGCTGCCTGGCATCAGGCCGAGGTGAGTGACTGGTCACTTGGAGCCGTGGCTTCTTCAGCTACGATGCAGGGATGACAGGGGGTGACAGGTCCTGGTCCTCACTGTGGCTCCTGACCTGTTGCTTTGCAGGCCTTGGTACTTCCAGTGTTCAGTCCAGAAGGATGCTGGGCCGTCGGGCCCCAGGTGACCCAGAGGCCTCTCTCCACCCTCTTGCCTCCTACCACCCATGGACTGTCCACTGACCAGTCCCTCCTACTGGCCATGTGCTCTGTGACCTACGCTAATGGTAGGTGAGGACAGCTCCACTTTGGAAGGGTCCTGCCCTGTGCCAGGAGTGGGGAAGGCTACACAGGGCGGCCACGGAGACTCTGGCCCGGGAGCCTGCGGGGTCCCCACAGGTCAATCAGACCCCTCCACACAGTCCTGTCCTGACAGGGCCAACCGTGTTTCATTCATGCCTACAGTGAAGTCTCCCCAAGGCCCCAGGGGACAGGGGAGCTCCCTTAGTGAACCCCTGGAGGTTCCTGGAAGGCGGTGCCCTGGAGAGGACCTGCGAGCTGTGCCCTGCCACTGCCTCGCCTGGCCAGTCCCCTCTTCCCATTGTGGGGTCTTTATAATAGACTGGTGAAGCAGGTCCCTGAGTCTGTGAGCCACTTGAGCAGAACAGTCCAACCCCAGGAGGAGGTCTCGGGGACCCCGACTGTAGCTGTCAGTTGGATGCACAGTCGAGACAACCTGGCCCTAGACGTGGTGGGCAGTCACAGTGACGGAGCCCGCAGCCTGCGGGATCTGACACCGTCTCTGGGTGGACAGAATGAACTGGGTCAGAGGACACCCAGTGGGTGTCCACTGCAGGACCGCCTGCTTGCTTGCTGGTGGGAGAAATCCCCACACCTTCTGAGGTCACAGAAGTGACGTGCACTGTGAGCAAGTCACAGGAGAAATCGAGATGAGCTGGGAGCAGCACATTCCTGGGTCCTGCATTCATGGCCACTTCCTGGGTTGCGTAATTCAGGAGGTCTGGCCAGCAAACGCGGTCCCATGGCTAGTGGTAACGTGATCCAGGGGATGCCAGGAACATCGCCATCCCCTGTTCTTTGGAGCAGGGACAATTCCTAGATTGAGTAGCTGAGGTCTCACACCCAACATGACTAAGGGTAACGTGACCCACAGATGCTGGCCACATATGTCTTCCCTTTGCTCCTTGGACCTCAGCTGTCCACGGGGGCATCACAGAGTCTGGCCCCTGATTACATTATCAGCCCTGCCACCATCTGCCACAGCCCCCAGGGAGGACACAGGCCTCTCTGGCCCCTTCCTTCTTCCCGCTCTTTGCCGTCATGATGCAAGGCTGCCCTGAGGCCACGGACATTTTGGGAGCACCTACTGTGGGCCAGGCGCAGGCTCAGGCCCTCTGTCTGCATATCCCCTGAATCCTCACAGAGGTTCTCTGGGGGAGTTTTCTGTATTTTGCAGATGAGGAACCTGATGGCCAGATGAATGAGGCAGGCCGGATAACTGTGAGACGTGGCAGTCAGGAGGAATCATAAGCCAAGTGTCCTGCAGCCCCCTGAGGGCAGCGATGCTGAGGGACACTGAGCCCAGAGCTGTTGGACCCTTCCTGGACTCCCATGGAGGAATCAATGAGCAGATCTCCAGTGTAAGCCCAGCTGTGTCTCCCGGTGCCTGAGGACCAGGAGTGTGCAAGGAACGTGAATCTCAGGACAAATCACTGACACCTGACCCAGTGGGATGCTAGCAAGTGGTGGCCAAGTGGTTACTTGAGCCTTATGATCAATCCTAGGCCTGGGAGGCCTCAGTTGGACCTGGGGAGATGCACCAGCCTGCACTGGTGATTTGTCCCTGAGTTTCCAGGCACTTTCAGGCCAAGGGGCTCACTGACAGTGCAGGGTGGGAGGGAGCTGGCCTATGTCCCTACCTGACTCGTTCTTCTCGATGATGTCCACCACCTGCCCCACACTGAGGCTGATCTCTGAACTCTCCTGCTTCTGGTAGTTGGCCACCACCACATACTGCTCCAGGACCATGGGGTCCACCGAGGTCAGGTCTCCCCCTGTGGACAGGAAATGCAATCAGATGTCACTTCTGGCCACCACCCAAGTGTGAAGGAGCAGGAGCCAGGGGAGTTGGTGGGTCAGCAGGACGTTCCAAACGGAGAAGGGAGTTGTCACAGGACTCCTCTCCAGGGCCACCCATCCACGCATCCCTTTATCCATCTGCTCACTCAGCCACCAAAGCTCACCAAGTGCCCATTCTGAACAAGCCCTGGAGGTCCCAAGGTGACTGACACATGGTACCTGCCCCCAAGAAGCTGACGGCCCAGCAGGAGCTCACTGCTAGTGGTTCAAATGTCCTCTCCAAAAGTCAAGTGGAAATGTAACGGCCACTATGACAGTGTCGGGAGGTGGATCCTTAGCAGATAATTAGAATGGACGGAGGTATTTGTCATGGCACCAGGTGAATGACGGGGGACCGGCCAACTCTCTTTTTGCCATGCGATGCCTCTGCCATGTTATGCTGCGGCGAGGCCCCCACCAGGTGCCAGACTGTGATATTGGGCTCCAGAACTTGGGAAATATATTTTCTCTATAAATTACCCAGTCTATGGTTTTGTTATAGCATTTGAACATGGACTAGGACACATTCATTCTTATCCATCCATCCATCCACCATGCCTTCAACCGCCTAGCTGCCCACTGCCATCAAGCCAACATCCGTTCATCATCACCCAACACCTGATTGCCCCAAATTATTCATCTGTTATTAGCTCGTGAAGTCCCCGTGATGTTCCAGATACTCCACTGGGCACCATGGGTACCAAAGTGGATGAGGTAGGTGTGAGTCCAGCCTCTAACCCTCAGGCTGGTTGGAGAGACAGACACACGCAGGACCCAAGGGAGAGGAATTGCTGGAAACCGCCAGGACCCAGGCAGGGGACAACTGGGAAAGGCAATGCTGTACCAAAGGTGGTCAGAGGAGCATCTGAAGGAGGTGACAGAGCGGAGGCCTGGGGAGGACCAGCCACGAGGAGAGGGAGGAACAGCGAGGGCGAGTCTGCACCAAGTGGGTGAGTGCCAGGGGCTGGGGCCCGCGGCAGTGCTGAGGTCAGCAGGCAGCTTGGACAGGGCCTTGGAGGGCCAAGCTAAGAGGGTTTTGTTTTTTTCACTTTGAAGGAGAAAGGAGATCGAGGGTGGTAAGAAGAGAAGGACAGAAAGCACCCACTGGCTGCCTCGTGGAGGGCGGAGCCCAGGCTGGCAAGAAAGACAGCAGGAGATTCAATGGAGACCAGGCAGAGGTCAGGCAGGAGGTGACAGTGGCTTTGGACCAGGGCAGTGGCAGTGGGAAGGGAATGGTGTGGAGGGGCCCCAGTGCCCCTGGAGTGGGCAGCCCTGCTCCATGACAGGACAGAGCCGATAAACACAGGAAAGACACCATAGGATACAGGCAATTTAAACTGAAGGGACACCTGAGTTCAGGGACTCCAAAGAGAGGGGACAGTGGTGTGACTTGGAGCAGCAGGCTCAGCTCTGGGGGAGGACAGCAGGACATTCATGGCCACAGTTCAGATTTAAAATATTCCTATGATGGGGGAGGGGGACTGTGGCAGTGGCTCAGCACTTGCCTCACATGTGTGAAGCGCTGGGTTCAATCCTCAGCACCACGTAAACATAAATCAACAAAATAAATCTCCACAAATCATGTAGATATCCAGGATCCCTGTTTCCTGTCCAAATGCACCCAGCAGTTGAGTGCCGTGGGAGTCATGCACCCTGAGCTGATTTTGTGCGTCTCTTTCCAACTCTGGGGGGGGCGACATCTTGTTGGCAGCTTGAAATTGGCTATGGCGGCAACTGGCGGAGGCTGCAGAGCTGGGCTCCTCTGCGGAGAGCTGCGGCGGGGTGTTTGCCAGCACACCACTGGCACCCAGAAGGAGCATGGAAGCCCCCTGTCAGCCCTGTGTGGTGTGAAGTCTGGTGTGGGCCTCCTCTGGCAAAGGGTGCTGCTTCTTGGATATGTGACTGTGTTCCAGCCACTGTCCCCACTGCCTGGGAAATGGAGGCAGAGAGAACCCTGCTACCTGCACCCTGGGTGGAGAAAGCAGGAGGACAGAGGAAGGAGGACAGGGAGCAGATGCAAGATGGAGGGTTAGAAGATGGGATCGGGGCAGCCCCAGAGAACGTCTCTCCCAGCTGCACCCTGCGCACCGATGTCCTGACACTGCTGCCCTGGAAGATGGTGCCACCAGCCCTGTGTTTCACTCAAGAAAACAGAGGCTCAGCGTTATGATGTGACTTAGTTGGGTCATGTAGCTGGCTACTGTCAAAGCCAGACTGTGCACCTGGCTCCAACGCTCTCCAGTGTGGGAGGGCATGGCTAAGAGGTGGGCGAGGAAAGAAAAGATGACAGGGAAGGAAGGATGGCCTGAGGCCTGCTGGCTGTCCTTCCCTGTGAGTTCCCAGGGTCCAGTCAAGCCAAGCCTTAGTTCCTTATGGCTCTCAAAGGTCATCTTCATTACTGGCAGCCCTCTCCTCATCTGCCACCTCCCCAGAGGTCAGGCTAAGGGCTGACTTCTTCTAGCCTCCAGGACAACAGTACTCCCAAGCCAACTGTGCCCCTTGCATAGGGTCCTGAGATCAGGAGTCTGACGGTCTCCACTGACCTCCAGAAGCCACTCGGGTGTTGCATGGAGACACCTCCTGGTGGAGTGTGGCATTGCAGCCAAGCTCTACAATGAATGATAATTGCAGTACCTTGAAGCTGGGATAAGCAGCTAAGTTCCAGGACATGCCAAGTGTGAAATCAGAGGATTCTCAGGTGAGAAATGTCACATAGTCCAGCAGGAAACAGAACAGAGGGAAGAAGTCAAGAGGAAGAAGATTTGACAGTAGAAGGATGATTTTTATCATTAAGTGCTAAAAATCTTTCTCAAATGGTATAGTGCCTATTTTTTTCCTTTGTGATGACATGTGTTGAGTTTTTAAAATGATGAGTAAAGGCAAAGTGAGATTTTCCTTCCAGAAATTCGCTGTTTTGCTAGGCTTGCTGGAAAAATCCATAAACAAGAGAATACTTAATAAGTAAAGGATAGAACAATCAAGCAGAAAGACACCCCTTAAGCAATCAGAGGATCTTTTAAATGGTGGTGAGAAGATGTTTTTCCTACAGGATGAGCAGAATCCGAAACCACATTAGCCAAAGTCTGCAAAAGCCAGCCAGCCAGTCATGACTGGGAAATGCTGAGAAGATAATCCTCCTCCAATTCAGGGTGCTGGCTCAGAAATCTCAGGGAGTTAAGTCTGCTCATCTTAAATCCTTTAAAATTCAGTCAAGAAAGCAGGTTCTAAAATAAGGGCAGTGTTCAAAGGTCAGATAAAACATAAGGCTGAGCCCAGCGTGGGCTCTTGGTGTGAATGAAGAAAGGTGCCATTTTCCACCCAGCTGGACTATAAATAAATCCACCCCCCCCCATTGCAGGTGAGTGATGTCAACAGAGGTTACCACAAATTAGAGCCGTCTCTCTTTTTTCCAGACAATTCCCTTCATCAAGCCTGTTCCAACTGGCACTTTGGTTTTCACAAACCAGAGCTGTCTCTTTCCTCTCTTCCCTCCCTCCCACCAGCTCCTTCCAAGGAAAGTCTCCGCATAGTCAAAGCCAGGAACTCTGTGACCAGCCCAGGAGTGGCAGCCCCTCTTTGCCCTTTTCTAAGAAACAGGTAATTATCCCTGGGGCTCGGGAGCTATTTGCAGCTTTAGCAGGATGCCACAGCCCTGGCCAGTGCCTATTAAACCAGGAAGAAAGTGGGACACTGGCTGAGCAGATGCCAGGGTTCACTCCAGAGGCGAGGCTCCCAAACCTTCCTCCAGTGACGGCCTGGAGCCCTTGAAGCTGACCACAGGCCCCAGACCCAGGAGGCAACTGACCAGTGCCACGGAATCTAGAGCTGCTGCTGATGCTGGGCAGGGGCATCCACACGCTTTCAGTTAGAGCAGGAGTAATACAAATCCACTGGACATGATCCTACTCTAAGTACTGTATGCATATTGTAAATTTTATAAGAATCCTAGAAAACAGTATTATTATGTCCCGTAATAATACATGTGGAAACCGAGGCCCAGGAGAGAAGTCCTCCGTTTCACGTCTGAGATCTCTGCTTGTGCCAAGCCCCACCACCATCCCCACCAACCCCCTCTACCTCCTTGGAGTCCTAGGAAATTAAAGAGGTTAGAATTCTGGATGCATTGGAGATGCACTGGCTCCAGGTCTGGCATGGGTCAGCCTCTGCAGAGGCAGGGGTGATCTTGGGTGGTGGGAAGACAAAATAGGGCTGCTGCTGATGTCGACTCTGACTCAGCCCAGGCCCGTGGGAACTCAGCGCCTGCCCTGGGCCCCTGCCTTCTCCTTTCCCATGGTTGATTCTGGTGGAAGAATTGTGTTGTCCAAGAAACGGGAAGATTGTTATGCAAGGGCAGAGGTCACTGCAGGGAAAGGGAAGTGAGCACGGGGACCACTGGATACGCGTGAGCCACGGTCCAGACGTGGCTGACTGGAGCAGAGCAGAGGCTGGGCTGGTGCTGCGGTGTCAGAGGGACCAGGTCCAGATTCGCGGCTCACTCCTGCCTGCCAGCTGGGGGCTCGCTGTCCCCTCCGACCAGAATGCCCTTTGCTGGGTAGATGCCTCTGCTCATTCCTTATAATCTAGCGTTCCTCTTTTCTGACCTTCCAGCACCTGAAGAACACTCTGAGCTTACCAAGTTGTTATGTAACGGCCTCTAACCCCTGATAGTGTGGCCAGGAAGACGCCTACCCCGTACTCCATAGAGGGATCTCAGGAAAAGACATCATCCCCTTTGTAATTTTTTGTAGGGTGCAATGACCCCAAATCTTTCTTTTAGGAAACATGCTGGAGTATCAACCAATCAATCAAGCATCAACCCAGCCAGCCAGCCAGCCAGCCAGTCCCCTTCCATTCATATGCATACCCAGTTATTTATCCAACTATCCATCCATCCATCCACCCAGCTACCCCTCCATCCATCCTTCCATCCACATGGCTACATCCCCAGTGTGGAACACAGCCCTTGCACCTGGCAGGTACTTAGTAGGAGTATGCTAAACACTGATTGAAGAGAAGAAAATGAGCAGGGTACGATGGCACATGCCTGTAATCCCAGCTATTCCAGGGGGCTGAGGCAGGAAAATCACAAGTTCGAGGCCACCCTGGGAAACTTAGTGAGACTCTGTCTCAAAAGAAAATAAAAAGGGCTGGGATATAGCTCAGTAGCAGAATGCCCTTGGTTTCAATTAAAGAGAGAGAGAGAGAGAGAGAGAGAGGGAGGGGGAGGGAGGGAGGGGGGAGGAAAATGGAAAATATTCTTACCAGATTTCTTTTTTCCAATGTGCTCCCTGTACAGGAAAGAATGGGGGCAAGAAAGAATAATGAATAATAGTTAGTATTTGTCATGTACTGACAGGAAAATTCTGTTAGAAAATGAATTCTCCATCCCACAACACCGTCAGTGAGTGAATGAAATCCAAGCCAACCCCAGGGACCTACGATTTCTTAAAAACAGAAAGAATCCTCTTAATTATCTCCCTTTACCTGATAAGTGCTCTGGTGCCCTGAGGACCAGTGTCCCCAAGCATTCGCAGAGTGGAGGGGCCCAGGCAGAGTTGGAGGGCCACACAGTCTGCAACAGCCCTGACACCCCACAGTGCACAGGGCCTGGCACCTGCCTCGCTGGAGGAGCAGAGGCTCTGCCCCTTAGTGGGGAGAGCAGCGCTCACAGTGCATCTCCCTGAAGGTGACCTGGGATGCTGCTGAGGCTGGAATCCACAGGGAATGAGGCTGACGGCTCTTACGTTTGTACATACAGGTCGGAGTTTGTAGGTACAACTGTACTGCAAATACTAAAAATCAGGGTTCACATATCACTTAATATCTCATTAGTGACAATGAGCAGGTTCCAGTGGCTGGGCTGGGCTGGGCGTTGTGGCACCGGTGCCATCATTCAATGATCATGAAATGCAGCCCTCTGCCAGGCCCTGAGTGGCTCGGGCCATTCATTCACTTAAAACTCAGGACAACCCTGGGAAATAAGTGTTACTTTGTCTCTATTTTACAGATCAGGAAAATGGGATCAGGAAAAGTCAGGTAACTGCCCTGAGTCACACAGCTGGTAAGGTAAGCCAGGTCTACCTAAATGTTTTAAAAATTGAGGGACAGCTGGGTGTGGTGGTGCATGCCTGTCATCCCGGCTACCTGGGAAGCTGGAACAGGAGGAGGGCAAGTTCAAGGCCAGCTGGGCAACTTAGTGAGACCCTGTTTCAAAATAAAATCCAAAAAGGGCTGGGACATAGCTCTGTACATGAGGTCCTGGGTTCAACCTTCAGCACCAAAAATAGGATAAAATCAATATATTAAAAATAAAAAAATTTTGAGGGATAATTAACAAACCGTAAAACTCAACCTTGGAAAGTACACAATTGATTTGTTTTTCATGGAGTCAGAGGGTTTTGCAACCATCACTACTATCTCATTCCAAAACACTTTCATCACCCAAAAAGGAACCCAGACCCAGGTAGCAGTCACCTCCCGTCCCCCTCCTCCCGGTGGTGGCCACCACAGGTCTTCCTGCTGTCTCTGCGGACCTGCCTACTTAGACACTCATTTACACAGAGTCCCGTAACGGCGGCTGTTGTGTCTGGATTCATCTGCTCAGCGTGTCTGCAAGGCTCCCCCATGTCACAGTGTGAAGCAGTTTTCTCGTCCTTCTTATGGCCGGGACATCCCACGTGTGATGGGCCATGTTTGGTCCATCTGTGCTCCGGCTGTGGGCAGCTGGGCTGCTCCCACTCTTTGGCTATCATGAGTCATGCTTCTGTGAGCTTCCATGTTGGGGGAATCCCGAGGGGTGGAAATGCTGGGTCGTGTCATAAATGTAGGGCTAGTTTTTTTGGGTGCCTTCAGACTGTTTCCCACGGCACCCATTTCACCTTCGCACCAGCGACGTGTGAGAGCCCCGATTTCTCTGCATCCTTGACAACAGTGGCCTGGAGAGCAGGGGAACCTTGAGGAGGCTTGGACTGCATCCCCTCCTAACGATCTCATGTATCTTGATACGCTTACCGGCCCTTCGGGGTCTTCTTGGGGGAACGTCCACTCGAGGTCTGACTTGAAAGTCTGGTTTTTAACCACCATGGAATGAAGCTTTGAGGCATCCTCAGGAGGGCAGGGGGCTAAACCGACCCCAGGACCCTGGGCTATGTTCTTAGCATCTGGGAGCAGCCACTGGGCAGGGCCTGGAGGATGCTCTCCGTGAGGAGGAACTCCACAGCTGCGGTGCAGGGAGGGCCAGCTGACCCTCAGGTCCCCGGGTCCTGGTCAGGAAGCTGTGCTGCACTGCTCACTGAAACCTCATGATTTACACACCCATCTGGCAGGAGGAGACACTGAGGCCCAGGGAGCTAGAGCGCGGCCTGGCCAGCCCCCTGGACGTCCTTGTGGGTAGAGTCCCCCTCGGTGGCTGCTGCAGGATGCACCACGGGGTCCTCCCTGGCTGCTTCTGCATATGCTGCCCCCAGAGCGGTGTTGGGTCCTGTGACCAGGGCCACTCCTACACTGCTTGTGCCTCCGCCGTCCCAGCTGGAGCAGGCAGTGCGGGTAGCAGGGCCCATGGGTCCATGTAGTAGCGGCAGCAGGGCCCTTGAACAGGCACATGACCTGCTCTGTGGCCTGCCTGGGGGCTCCCGCGTGCTCATCCCGGCAGCAAAACCCTCCTGTAACAGCACCTTTGTGGCCCTGGTCTCCCCGCCAGACACTGCCAGAGAAGACCCCGTTTCAAGCCCAACTTGGGTCTGAGCTTCCAGCTCCTGACCAGAAGACCAAGCCCGTGTAGTCACCCGGCCACTCGTCACACCCGGAACCAGCAACCGGATCAGCAGAGATGGCCTGTGGGGCCCCAGAGCTGCCCACAACTGTGTTGCCACCTTCCTTCCGTCCCCCAGAGCCTGGCTCAGCCAGTAAGGCGCAACCAGGGTGCTGCACCGTCCTTCCCGGGGGAGGCTGCTGCATCTCACAGCTGGCCACGGGCAGGGAAGCTGCACCCTCTCAGGAGCCCAGTCACCTGCCCAAGGTCGCACAGGTGGAAGGGGTGCCAGACTCTGAATCCTTCTCTCCAGGAAGCCTCCTGGGACCAGGTGACACTCCTTCGGGAAGCCGTTGGCTGCTCTGCCGTCTTCCTCTAGCCCAGTGCTTTGTGTTTTATGTGGGTGTCTCAATGGGTTCCCCTTCCTGAGACCACTCTGAGGTCAAGCTAACCCTTTCTTCCTTCCAGCAGCGCCCACCAGACCTCAGCACAACCCGAGGCTGCGCGGCAGCTGTGGGCAACTTTGGGTAATGAACGCATCTGAATGAGCAGACGCTGTCCACGGTGGCCTCTGCTCAGAGACTTGGGGGAAGGGGTCCTGTCTCGAAGGCCCAGTCAATGAGAGTCCCCTCCTTAGCCTTCCTGGAAGGGCTCCTGTGTGAGATTAGCTTCTCGGGGACCCAACTCCGCCCGGAGACTTGGAGCAAACCAGTAGATCAATCCCTTCCCCATTATGGCCCCGCAGAAGATCCCAGCACCATGGCCGACTCCAGGAGGAAGAGCCGGGGAAGCTGCACTCCTGAGCCAGGCAGGGCTGAGCCGCAGGGACCCAGCCAGCCTCCCTCCTGGCAAAGTCAGCATGGCTGCCCGCCCTGGGAAGAGGTGACGTCGCAGGATCTGAGGAAACCTGAAATCCCAACACTCCTGGTCCCAAGCACTTTGGGGAAGGGCCAGGCCTGCAGTTCCTGAGCACACCTGGCTCTTCGGTGAGGTGAGGGGACCCGACCAGAGTCACTGCCATACAGGGCCACCCCCCACTGGGTCCCAACACACTTTGGCAAGTGCTGCAGAGCATTATGGGATTACAGGAACCCTGCCAGCTTCTTTCACCTGCCAAAGGGGACAGTATGACCCTCACAGTGACTGCGAGGCCCCCTGAGGCCAGGCTTGCGGGGAAGAATCAGTGAACTCTGGCTGGACATTACTTTCCCCCAGGCTGGCTGGACCAGCAGGGCAGGCGGGGCAGGATGCAGGGGGCTCACAGACCAACTTACTCTTTGGGGGGATTCAGGTCCTCGGGTCTTGTCTCAAAGAACTGCAGCACCTCATCACACTGAGAGATGTAGGGGGGCAGCTGGATCAGGGCCTGCAGAGGAGAGAGGGGGGTCTGAAGGAAGCAGGTGTGACGGGTTGCACACCAGGGTCTGGGGATCACCTGGTGGCCCCAGCCCCGAGGTCCTGACTCAGCAGGTCGGGGGCAGGGCCTGTGCATTTTGTCAAGTGGTGATGCTGGTATTTTGGGTTAAGAAACACACACAGTGTATGTGCATATGTGCCCAGAGGTATAGTGGGCACATCTGGACAAACTGTATGGGCACATTCACACAGTATCCGACCACACCCTGCGTACCAGTTTGTAAGAGATGCTGTCACTAACAGTAAGTGGTGATCTCACCACAACCGGCATCTAGACCGCGGGCACTGGATACTGGGTATTCGCTGTGCAGAGACCGGGTTGCCCACAGGTGGACATCATGCAGCTTCCAATATGCGTGTGCGTGTGCTGGAACTGCCCGGCTGGAGCATTACACAAGGGGCTGCTTCAGAATGTGGACAGAGGCTAGATGGAGGTGTCCAGGCCGACGGGGGGCTGCCTCATCCCGGGTCCCCCACTGGCTACCTCATGTCACTCTGCCACATGAGGACAGGAAGAAGCCTCAAGGACACCTGCCAGGGGGCTGCACGAGGAGGGCACAGCGTGGGACTGGGCATCGTCATCCTGGTTTTTTTCACCAACAGGTTCCATTCAGTGTGTCACCAGGCATGTCCTGTGGGCCCGGCACTGTGCAAGGTTCTCCGCCACATGGGAGAGAAGTGCAGCATATGTCCCGTCCATGAAGGATCTGAAACTAAGACCTCCTGATAAGCTGCTCAGTCTAACCAGCACTGACTGAAGCCCCTCTGGCCCAGGTCCTGGATCGGGAAGACGGGGACACAGGTCTGTGTGCAGTGGAGCTGGGGCGTGCACATCTTATCACAGCCCGTGGGGGGGATTGCACACGCATACATGTGATTTAAATTGCACAGATAGCCGCAGGTAGCTTGGGGGTGAGGGTCTCCCAGCATGTGTGAGGCCCTGGGCCCAATTCCCAGTGCCCCTCCCCTCACACATCACAGGTGACCCAGCCAGCCCTGTCACCCTGCAAGTGGTGGCTCTGCAGTGAGGTGGCTGTCTGCTCTGCCCTAGAAGGCCTTGCTCCTTGGTTCCTTTCGTACACCCTGGCCATGATGACAGTCTGGGGTGGGGATGTGTCACTCTGCTGTCTGGGGTGGAGACATGCCAGTGTTTTCTAACATCCCTTAAAAGCCCACCGTCCCACACCCAAGTGCACTACCTGCAGGGGGCCTGGGCGCAGAGGGGCCACTCGGAGAGGGGCTGGAGGTCTCCAACAGGCACCTCACACAGGGCTCGGGGATACTTTGACCCTATGTGATTTTCTCCTCCAATCAGAAATGTTTAGTTGTGCAAGACACAGGGTTGGAACCTGCCATCTTCCCCACTGTGCATTCAGGGACATTAGCACATTCTTATTGTCACACTGCCAGCACCTCCTGTCCCCAGAACTCTTCTCATCTTGCAAAACAAAAACTCCAGCCATGGAACAGCAGCATCCCCTAGCCCCGCCCTCTCCACCTGCTGTGAATTCCCTGAGGCCCCTCCCTGGAGGGATGCACAGAACCCGTCCTTCTCTGTCCAGCTGATTTCCTTCAGTACATCCACCATCCGGGGTCACCCCTGCTGCAGCATGTGAGATCCTGTCTCCTGGGGCTGCCGCTGCCCCGCTGTCTGTGGATGCCCCGTGCTGCTTCTCACCCATTGATGGACGCTGGGCTGCTGACCCTATGTGGTCAGAGTCACAGGCTCTAATTTTGCCAAATTCCCTTCGTGTGACCTGCCCCAGGTTTAGAGTGGAAAGATGTGAAGTGACAGTGGGCACCTGGCCTGTCACTATCCACTCTTCGTACTTCTCAAGTAGAGGACAATGACTTAAAGGGCTCGCTGATATTTTTATTGGCCATTAAGTAGCTACTCTCTGCAGCCTGTCCCCAGGGCTAACCTGTCCCAGGCTGGAGGCACAGTCCCAGGACAGGCCCCTCCTACTTCTGAGCCTCCTCCTTGTCCTGGTGCCGGAGGCCAGTGTCATTCTCCTGCCCAGGACGAGCTGCTGCCTGTGCCCCGCCCCTTGGGTCTCCCCTTCCTCTGCAGGCCCATGACGAAGGAGCTGATGACATGCTGGAGTGTGGTGTGGCCTCCACGCACTGAGATCCCTGCTCTCCTGAGGGTGGCTCAGCACCGCTGGCTCCTGAACGCACGGTCTCCCTATGTCACCCTGGGCGGCCGGGGAAGCGGAGACTCTGAGGAGGTGATCTGGACAAGAAGGACTTGGCCTGGCCGATTCCAGCCTCTACCTCAAACCCACAGAGGGCAGACGTGGAGGCTGCCTGCCTTCCCTGCGTTCCTCCATAGCGCTGGGCACACCATGACACCAGGCTGGATGAGCAGCATGAGGGGGAGGCCTGGCCCTGGCACGTGGCCTGCTGGAGGGCGGCAGGTGGGTGTGGGGTGTGAGCTCCGAGGTGGGTGTCTGGGCTTGGAGGGTCCCGGGTGCTCTTGTTGGAGAAGGCAGAAGCGCAGGGGGACCAGCGAGGGGTGGGACAGGGAGGCCCATGGAGACTTCCAGACAGGGCCGAGTCTCCTCTGGTCTTGGGCTGTCCTTGGGACGAACAGCCAAACCCAATCTGCACCAGGAAACACACCAAGGCACCAGTGAAAGACAGCGCCACATGTGCAAGGACACCCTCTGGTGTCGTGGGCTGGCTGATCCTCAGACGTGACCTCTGCGCACCGCGAGGCGTCCTGGGCTTGACAGAGCTCCGAGGTTCCAGCCAAAGTGTGCTTGCTTCCAGAAGGAACCCTGTTCCCCACAAATGCGGGGATGAGAGAGAGTCCTGCTTGCTGAGGTCACTATGGGCAGCCCATGCATGTCACACACATATCCTTCAGAACCGGGCCCTGGGCCTAGGACCCTGAACTGGCCTCTTATCAGCCCGGGATTAGGATTAGCTGGTCCTGTGTCTGCCTCCAGGAACCGTTCATGCCAAGTGGCATCACACAGACGGTGGGTATTTCAACGCTCCCAGGACAGCCCGAGCGGCCGGTGCGCAGGGCAGCCCGCAGCAGAGTCAGATTCTCGTTGTGACTTTTGATGAGCAGAAGTTCTTAAATGTAACGGGGTCAAATAAACCAGTCTTTAGCGGTTGGTACATTTTGCATCTTTGGAAATCCCCCTGTCCCTAGAGATGATGAAGATACTGTCCTGTGTATAAATCCTTTATGGCACTGCCTCTCACTGTCAGGACTTTATAAATGACACCACGTGGGACGCGAGGGAGGTCAGTCCTTGTCACTGCCTTTTCCCACCTGGGTGCCCCTCTACCGAGGAATCCCGTCTTTCCTCGGTGACCCAGAAAGTGGCCTTTGCTGTGTCAGAAGGTGCGTGAGGCCTGTTGCTGGTCCTCAGCTCCAGGCCAGTGTCTCCTCTGCCGGGTGCCAATGTCCTGCCGGGGGAGTGCCTGCCTGGTGGAGCAGGAAGCGCGCTGTGTGCACAAGCAGGGCGAGTTTGGGACACGTAGCCCCATCCACCTGCACCTTTGGGCGCGCCCACGTCTACTGCTGTGAAGTGAGCCCTGGGACCAGACTGGCTTCAGTTGGCTCACAGCGAGTCGCCAGCAGACACCCGAATGCCAGGACCATCCTGCGGAGCCTGGGAAGGACGGCAGATCTGGTGACAAAAGGCATATTTCCACTCCCTCTAGGCGGCCAGCTCCAATCCCTGGATATCTGCTCTCTCTTGCGATTCCTACTGGCAGGGCTGCATATTTCCATGTGGCTCCCGCGACACAAGCCGTCTCTTCTGTGGCTAATCCCGATGATCTCTGGTTCTTCCAGGTACCAGACAGCTGCACACAGCTGTTGCTTCCCCTTATTGCTTAAGGATCTCTCCAGGATGAGGGCTCAAATTTCCCAATCCCCGGAGGCTTGGGCCCCCTGGGTAGGAAGGGAGCCTGACTCTGGAGAGACTGGGCCGGGGAAGCTAGGCTGAGGGGCGACTGCTGCTTCCTAGCTGGGCGAGGCAACCCCACAGGGCCTGAGCAAGGAGGGCTTCTCCAGAGTGGGAACTTCAAGCTTTAGAGGTTTGGAAAAGGACAAAGTGAAGACGTGAATTTTCCTCTGAAAGTTGGAAGGCAGCAAAGACATCCTTGAGGTGGAATGCTGTCCCTGTCCCCACCCCCACCCCTTTTTAAGGATACACATGAGAGAGATGAATCTGAATCATCTGCCTATGTCAGTCTTTTCGTAGTACTATAGCAAAATACCTGAGGCTGGGTACTTTATAAGGTGAAGAGGTTCATTTGGCTCACAATTTTGGTGGCTGGAGGGTCCAAACAGCATGGTGCCAGCATCCTGGCAAGAGCTTGTTGCTGCATCAGGATGTGATGAAGAAGTGGAAAGGAGCCAGCTGTGTGCAGAAGGGGCCCAGCGGGTGGGGCAGCCTCGCTTTGTAACAAGCTGCTCTCAGAGAACTCACCTCCCTTTGAAACCAGCACTCACCCCTTCCTGGGGTCCCCAGGACCTGGTTATCTTGCACCAGGCCCCCTTCTCAAAGGCTTACCCCCTACACACCAACACACCGGGGACCACCCTTCCAACTCTGGAGTCTCTGGGGGACACACGAACCACCCACGGCCGGACTCTGCTCCCAGCACATGCTGAACATCCCTGCCCCCCGCCCCTGCACTTCCTCAGCCACGTGGAAGGTGACCAGCAGGGTGTAGGAGTGGCTGTGACCTTCAATGACCTTTCTGATCTCCATCTCCTCTTCTGCACAGTAGTAAAATCTCATCAGCGTTGGTGGAGGGACAAGGTGAGGTCAGGCCCCGCCAAGACAGACCCTCAGGAGTGGTTGTCTGTCCTTCCTCGATGTCCCCTGCTGGGTGGAGGGGCGGTCATTGGTCCCTACCAGGCCCCTTGTTAAATGTTTAAAAAGATTTATTGCAGTATGATTTATAGACCATAAAACATACCCATTATAAATGCACAATCAACTTGGTGACATCTGGTGATGGCAGAGTTGTGCGGTCATCACCTCCACCCAGCCTTGGGGCCTCCTGTTGCCCCAGCCTCTCCTCCAGCCTAATCTGCCCTCCATCTTTACCCTGCCGCCCGGGGCCAGGAGGCCAGGTCTGTTCTGTCCTGCGGATCTGCCTTTGCTGCACATTTCACACCCACGGAACCACACGGTCCGAGTCTCGCCTCCGGCTTCTGCTCAGCCTGGTGCTTGGGTGATCCGTCGGGTTGGGGCGCCCATCACTGCTCTTTGCTGTTTGACACGCGAGCAAGCACATTCTGCGGCACGGACCCCACACTCTTCTGTCCACTCTCCTGCTGACGGGCGTGCAGGCTGCTCCCAGGGTCTGGCTACCACAAGCTGCGGTCGCTACGAGCATTCGCACCCAAGCTTTGCCATTAGGTCTTCATGCTCTGGAGCACATGCCCAGGAGGGGTGGAGGGGCTGCCAAGGGTTTTCCAAAGCGGCTTTTCCTCTCCAGGATGAGGGCTCCAGGGTCTGCGTCCCCACCCACGGCCGCTGCCCTGCTGCTGTGGCCACTGCCCAGGCTGCCCGGCACGGCCTGGTGTTGTCCGCATTGCCCTGATGACTGACCAGGCTGCGCTGCATGGTCTTACAGTCACCCCGATGTCTCTTAGGTAAGAGGAAAGTCTTCTTCCCATTTTAAAACTGGGTTGCCCTTTGCCCTTGAGTTCTTGGTGCATTCTCAGTGTCTCTTACCAGACACTGAGGGCAAGCCTTTCCATTGTCTTATGGCATCTTTTGAAGCCAAAGTGGATTTGGTGAAGTTCAATTTGATCAATTTTTCTTTTAGGCCTGATACTCTTGCTGTCATATCAAAAAATTCTTTCCCTATCCATGGTCATGGAGGGTTCCTCCTGGGAGCTCTTAGATTTATCCGAGTTGATTTCTGCACGTGGTGGGGGCAGGGTCCAGTTTCCTTATTTCTGACCCTCTCCCCCCCAATCCCCATGGCCTGGGAGGTGACTCACCTGGAGATGGACAGGGCCTCTAAATAGGTGATCTTAGTCATTGAGGATGGCCTGCAGCCCAATGTAACTGGCATCTTTACAAGAAGAGAGATCAGGGCGTGGACAGGTGCAGAGAAAGGTTCCCTGAAGTCACAGGGAGGAGATGAGGCTGTCTGCAGGCCAAAGGGAGCAGCCCTGGGAAGCCCTGCTGCTCCGAATTCCGGCCTCCAGATCCACGAGAGGACATGGATTTCTATTGTTCAAGCCACACTGTCTGGGACGCTTTGTTACGCATCCCTAGGAAACTAATGTAAACACAGCTGTCCCAACTGTGTATAAAAAGACTACCGATCCTTTCCCACCAAATCGTCTTGGCATCTTCACTGAATACAGACAGCATACTATTTTGCGTGAGCTCATTTCTGATCCTCAGTGCTGTTGCCCTGATCTATGTGCCACCCCAGTGTCAGTACCAGGCATCTCCAATACTGCAGTGTGTAGGAGCTCTGGAAATGGCCAGCACGGCTCCTCTAACTGCCCTTAAGCATCAGCTTGTCAATTCTAAAATGAAAAAAAAAAAAAAAGCAACACAAAACAAAAACAAACAAACCCTCCTAGGATTTCAAGAGGAATCACACTCAACACAGAGATGCTGAGTCTCCCAATCCATGAATATGGGATGCCTGTCCACTAGTTTGGACCTTCTTTGACTTCTCTTGGCAATGCCTTGTAGTTTCAGTGTAAAATCCTGCACTTCTTTTTGTTAAATGTTATTCCTGAGTATTTTTTTAAACATTTATTACTTTTTTTTAGTTGTAGGTGAGCACAATACCTTTATTTTACTTCTATGTGTGTGCTGAGGATCGAACCCAGTGCCCCGGCATGCCAGGTGAGTGCTCCACCTCTGAGCCCCAGCCCCAGCCCTGTATTTTATTCTTTCATGAGGCTATTATGAGTGGAATTGTTTCCTTAATTCCATTTCTGGATTGTTCATTTGTAGATCATATAAATGCAAGCGAGTTTTATATGTTCATCTTGTATCCTGGTGTCTTACCAAGCTCATTTCCTAGTTGTGTGTTTTGTGCATGGATCTCTTGATTATCTACATAGAGACTCACACCACCTGTGGGTCATGGCAATTGTACTCCTTTCTTCCAGTCCGGTTGCCTTTCCTTCCTTTCTTGTGTGCTTACACTGGCCTTCCCCTCCAGTAGGAGGTGGGGGTGGTGAGGGTCAACATACTCACTTTGTTACCCATCTAAGGTAGAAATCATTCAGCCCTCCATTTTTAAGGCATCTCTTGCTTATTTCTACTCTTAAAGCTATTTAACCTGAAGAAGTGAAAACTCAGAGAAACTACACACATGAAATATAAATATATATTATCCATTAATACATATTATCCATGTTTCATATTATATATACATACATATATATATTATATGTATGTATACATATTATATGTATGTGTGTGTGTGTGTGTACAATATTTCTTTCCTGACCATAGCCTCTAATTAAATGAAATACAACCTAAGGCAGGCACTTGTTTCAAATACTCAAGGGACAGGAAAGCAGTTGTACTACCTGACAGCAGGGCTGGTTGAACAACTTCTCAAACATTCACACACAGTAGAATACTATGTAGTCATTAAAAGTAGGCTCAAGGGGATTTCTATTATATGAGGAAATTCTTATGTCACAAAGTAAACAGATGAAGAGCAGAAAAAAGTATACACACAGGATGGTCTCAACACCACAAAGAGTCACTCACACAAAGGAAAAATGGCACAGACGCATATAAAACCCTTGATAGATTCTTCTGGGCTGAGGGATCATGGGTGATTTTTCCCTCTAGTTACTTTACATTTTCTTCCAATTGTACAAAAATTTTCATAACAAGTATCTTGTAGCCAGAAAACAGGCCGTGTGCTCTCAGCCTTACCTTGCAGTACTCGTCAATTGGTACCAGGCGCTTGACAGCCACATCCCGGACGTGGCTTCTCCGGAACAGGATCTTGCCTGCAGGAGGGGAGAGTGCGCTGAGCATCAGGCAGCCGTGAGGTGCCGCGCAGCCCGGAGGGTGTCCTGGGTGGGCTGTGGGGGCTGCCTGCCTGTGCTCGACCCGGCTTGGTAACCCCATGAGTGTCCCCAACGCCCCATTGGCAGCTCTGGTACGGGACTGGGGAACGGGTTAACAGGAAGTTTTATAAACACATTTTTATTGACACGTGATAACTATACATGTTTATGGGGGACGGTGTGACATTTCCACACATGCAGACTAGCTGGGGACAGAGCAGGTCCCTGGCCCACTCACCACCCCAGACACCTGCCCTAGGAGTGTGCAAGGTCCTCTCCAACAGTGTTTTTGAGACGTGCAGGTCCTTCTGTGCCGCAGAACGTGGGGGAAGTCATCCTTGCGGTCCCTGGCTCCCCTAGCCTCTCCCCTCTGCCTCACGGTCTTTGGCCATCTTCCTACTCTGTCCTGCGGACCAGCCTCTCAGCCTCCCTGTCCCTGAGGACACGCAGCACCTGTCTCTCGGGGCCTCACCTCAGCGAGTTTTGATGGAGGGAAGCGGGGGCAGCCGTGAAGGAGGCCCCCACCTGCGCTGACCGAGGACCGTGACCTGTGGGCGGGTTCTGGGCGAGTGGCCCGGGGGACAGCCCAGGGGACGGCCCAGGGCTGCACAACCTGACAGTCCAGCCCCTCCCCACCATCCCCCTCTGTCCTGCCTGCCGGTCCCCAAACTTCACACTCTTTCATGCTCCTGCGCCTCCCTGGCACACCCGTGCCTCCTGGTAAGAATTCAGGAGGAAATGTGTGGAAGGATCCTGAGGGCCAGCCTCCTAGGGACGGGGGGCACGGAGTTGTGGTGGCTTCCTCAGGCCCCCACCCTGCAGAAGGTCCAGTACCCTAGGCTCAGACCCAGGCCCAGCCGGGGCCCTCACTGTGACCACCGAGGACCCACTCCCCATCTCACTGGTCCCCATGGGTGGGACTCTTGCCATCCAGAACCCCTAGGAGTGTCCCCACCTTTGGGAGAAACCAGGATCGTGTGGGGAACCTGCGTGCCAAGTGCCCTCCCGTGTATCTCCAGGCAGGGGGGACACCCCGCCCCAAAGAGTGTGGCTCCATTTTGGCCCACACTGTGGCCCAGGAGACGGAGAGGGAGGTGACCAGGCCTCTTGCTGACAGCTTGTGCACAGGCTCAGACCCTGACAACCAGCACGGGGCCACTGCTGGCCCCTGGAGAAAAACAAGCTCGTCCCCAGGTCACTGACCACTTAGGAACTCAAGGTGGGCTGGGGCGGGGGCTCAGCGGCAGAGCGCTTGGCTCGCATGTGTGAGGCCCTGGGCTGGACCCTCAGCACCACATAAAAATGAATGAATAAAATGAAGGTACTGTGTCCATCACAGCTACAAAAAAGAAAAAAAAAAACAATAAAAAAAACTCAGGGCTGAGGATCTACCCACGGCTCAGGACAGAAACCCCAGGCACCTCCAGGGTTCCCTGGGCGTGTGACACAGGACAAAAGCTCCACTCCAGTCCCAGCAAGGGCATGGGACAGGGCCTGCTGGGGAGGCCACAGGCCCATCCCAGCCTCTGCTGCTGAGGCCTTGAGGAGTGTGGTCCTCTCAGAGCCTCTGTCTCCTCTGTAAGATGGGAAAGCAGCCCTTGTTCTTGGAAGGACACTTGGTCTAGGACACTCCCGGCACAGGGCTGGCCCTTAGTAGGTGCACACAAAGGACTCATGACTGGTTTTTCTTTCTTTGAAGCAATCTGAAGGACGCTGCGTGGCACTTTGCAATTAAGAGCATGTGATCTTCCTCTGCCCCCGACTGCTTGAGCCCAGCCTCTGGCAGGCCAAGGGCCCTTCCCCACAGCAGAGCGGTGTGCAGGACAGGGGCAGGGCCCTGCGGCCAGAGCCTCCTGGGCCAGCACCTCCCTGGTGGAGGGCCTGAGGGGCAGCGGCCCCTGCTGCGTCTGTGTGGCTCTGGGAGGAGGGGCGCCTGCTGCCTCGCTGGCGTGGAAAGGGTGTTCTGGGGTGAGGACTCCGCTCGCTCGCTTGGTGGAGGAAGCCAAACTGTACTTCTTATTTTTCAAGCGGCCTCCTCTGCCAAGTTGGCTCTGGGCTCCTGCTGGGATGGAAACCGGGGCTGGCCCCTCCCCCGGCCTTTGTGCTCACATGAGACTTGCCTTTGTCCTGCTGACACGGCAGTCTGCACAGAAAGTGACCCCAAGGAGAGGGGACTGTGCTCCCCTGCCCTGGGCCCGGGCCTCTGGGAGGAGCAGGAGATGGGCTCAGAAGGGACGTGCCAGGGTTCTGGGGCCCAAGGGGACCTCTGCAAGCTACAAGGGGTGCCTTGAGCAGGGACAAAGGGGCCAAGTGGTGGAGAGCAGTGTCTTGGCTAATTCTTGGGTGGGACAGGCTTACGTAACCACCAAAGCTCTAGAGCTGGGAGAGGGCCAGCTGGGGGCCAGGCCAGTCCTCTTCTTGGGGAGCTTTTCCAGAGCTGCTTTTGCTTTTCATGCAGGAAAAAAGCGCTGACTCTTTCCTTTCTTGAAGAAATCCCTGTATTCAGAGCCCAGTTTAACTTGAAAGTCACTTATCCCTCAAGGTCTTGGTCACTTAAGGATAGCCCCAACACAGGCTGCCATAGGATCTCTAAGGAACGTCCCAGGACCCTGTCTACGGGGAACCTACCCCAGCCACGAGTTGAGCCTCGTGAAGCCAAGGCTCAGCCTTAAAGCAGTGGAAACTGAGGCCCAGCGGGCGTGGCCCTGCTCTAAGCCACAGGCTGGAGGCCTGTCTGTCAGATGCGCCTGCTCCGTGGGCTTCCCCAGGGTGGGGTGGGACTAGACGGTGTGAGCTTCAGGCAACGCCGCTCCCAGTAGGGGGCCGGGCAAACCGTCCAGCCCTGTCTCTACACCTGCCCAGGCTGCTGGCCTCTGAAGACCACTGGCTCCCTGGACGGAGGGTCGGGAGGACGGATGCTCATGTGACCCAGTGGCAGTTTCCTCGTCTGAAATAAGAAGGAGACCTATGCAGCCCTTTAGCTGTAACCCCTGTGACTGGGGGGTGACCGCTGCTGACCACTGTGTGTAGAAACAATCATGAGAGTCAATGACCCCTGGCCAATGTCCCCTGGCCACCTCCATGCATTTACACCTCCTGTCCCATCACTGAAGTCCCTTTATCAGCTCTAACTTGTGAATGAAGAGATAAAACTCAACAGCTGTCACTCAGAGGAGGTGAGGCCCCACGGTGGCCTGTAGCTCTAGCCACTGGGAGGCTGAACACGGAGGAAGGTCTCCTGAGCCCAGGATTTGAGAGCAGCCTGGACAAAACAGGGAAACCTCGTGCCCTTCAAAAAAAAGAGGTAGTGAGTAGGGGGTCCTGGGAGTGGGGCCAGGTGGCCCAAGTGCAGGTGTGACCTCCGTGGCCAGCCAGGCCCACCTGCGTCTGAACCCCAGCTCTGCCCTCTTCTGAGCCTCAGTTTCCTAATCTGTGCTCTGGGCTCAGGAATGCCTGCCCTGCAGGGTGGCTGGGGACTGAAGGTGTCCAGCAACTGGCCCGTCCTGGACAGTCAATAAATGGCGCAAGCCCTCTAGGCGGACAGCGCTCTCCAACTGGCAGACGGGGACATCAAAGGGATCTGAAGCACAGCAAAGACTTGCTGCCCTGTGGTGGGCCCAACGAGGACAGAGAGACACCGAGGGTCAGCAGACAGCCCACAGGCAAGTGGGATGTGCCACAAGGTGACCGAGGTGGGCCGTGTGTTCCCCAGACCCCAGGTCATGCCTCAGCCCAGCCGACACCTGGACGTTGGCCTCCTAAGGCCCTAAACAGAGAACCCAGGAGCCAGCCTGGTTGCCGCCTGCTGAGCTGTGAGGGGTGAATGGGGTCGCTCAGGGCTGCTGAGCTGCGTCTGAGATGCGGAGCAGAAAAGAGCCCGGCAGCCAAGCAGGGAGCCGCGCTCCAGGGCAGCGCCGTCGGCCATTCCCGTTTGGAGGTGGACGTGAGGCCCAGTCGTGGGCCTAGGAAACAGTGTGTGGGGCCCATGTCCCAGGCACTCTGGTCAGTGGGACAGTGTTCCCTGATGACGGAGGAGGAGCTTGCGAGCCGCCCTGAGAGGCCTGGAGCTGCTCTGTGGCCCTGGCGTCCCCTCCGATGGTGCAGGTGGCCTACCTGGCAGAAAGGGGATGATGCGCTGCTTGGGGTCCTTCTGCCCTCCTTCCATGGGAAACTTGTCCAACATCTGCATCTGAGGGTAGAGAACACCAAACCTCAGACCTCTCGGAGCACAATCCGTGAGCCTCTGACCTTTCAAAGGAATTACGTGAGACCCAGAGTTTGCTCTGTCCAGCTTTTCAGACCCCACGGAGAAGGCCACTCCAGCTGGTCTGGGGCCCCCAAACCATTCTTTACATCCAAGCTGCAGACTGTGAAGGCTCGGGGCTGCAGGACCTTTCTTGGTTTCCCTGGGGCTTCCTGCCCTGGGATTTGAAGGACATGCAAACAGCACCCTCAGAGGCCCCAGAATTTTCAGGGACGGGAATCATCCTGCTTCCTAGAGCGGCCAGGTTGTGTTGAAGAACAAACCACAACAGGACTGGTTAGGTCTATGATCACGTCCGCCGGACCCAAGAGCTGCCCAGTGGCTCAGCAGACAGCATCGGGCCTGGCCGGGCTGGGCGTGTGGGCACTGCAGTGAAGACACAGGGTCTGGAGGAGACTGAGCTGTACACTGGTAACTGCAGGTAGTGTTGGAGGCACCATGGGATGGGTGGGGAGAAGCAGGAATGGGGACAGACTGTGACACATGGAAGCCTTTCAGTGCCCTGAGGCGTGAATGTGGATCACCTCACCCAGTATCCCAAACCCAAGGGTCTGCCACTGATTCCCTCTGTGCAAAGGTGGAGATTACTAACTGGTACCTATTTACCATTTTCTGTTTCCCTCTGCCAGGGGGACTGGCCACACTCCTGAGAATGACTTCTCTGCCAGCTGGGGTCCTGAAGGGAGGGTCCAGAGTCCCCAACACCTCTGATGGCCATGTTGCTGGAGTAAGATCCAACAATACGCCCAGTTGTCTCGTGAGGTCACTTGTTGTAGCAGCATATCCTGAGCTATCCTGACTAGTACATGGGTCAAGAAGTCAAAGCAGACGGTGAGGGAGTCCTAAGCCTCCCAAAGTAATGTTTGGCAGGTGAAAAATGTGCCTGTCCTTGCATTTCAAGGAAAAGGTCACTCTGTCTCTCCAGATCTGTCTCTCTCTGATAGAATCAAAGAAGCTTGGAAAAGTCGGGGAGAAATGAGGTTAGTTAATTGCAGGCCTTTTGGAAGGAACAGCAGTTCCCCAGGTGGAACAGAAGGCTCCACTGAGCATCAGCCCTAGCCAGGCATGCACTAGGTCTTCAGGCCCTGGCTGGCCACGTGGCTCAGTGGTAGCGTGCTTGCCTAGCATTCGTGAGGTCCTGGGTACGATCCCCAGCACCACACACACTCACGCCCACCCACCCACACATACACTCACACACACACGCCCTCATGAAGTCCTCAGGGCACACCCTGAGCATGGACATTAATATCCAGGAAGAAATCTGCCCAGGCAGTGGCCAACAAGGCAGAAGGGCCAGAGATTGACACTCATGTGCCACGGTCACCGCCCCACTCTTGGAGCTATGAGACAGTTATGAAGAAGCTGGTTGGTTTTCTCAGGCTGGGTCCCTGCCCTTCTGAGCTGTTTAACTCCTGGCCCCGGAGAGGTGGCCAGCCTCGGCCTGGCAGGGCATCGCAGGGCTGCCGGGAGGTACGGGCTTGGCCAGCAGCCTGGCTCGACACCTCAGCTGTGGGTTTTTCCCTGTGCCGAGGGCGGCATGCAGGGCCTCAGGGGTGCTGGGCAAACCCTCCCAGCCCTGTAGCCTGTGGTTTTACTTGTAGCTTTCAATCACTGGCCCTATTCTGTCCTGCGTGGTGACAGGTAATACTTGGTCCACTGTCCTTCAGAGACTGGTGAGGCCACTCAGGGCCCTGTCTGGAAGAGGCAGGCTTCCTCTCTGGAGTTCAAGAGCTCTTCAACACCAGCACATAGTAGGGACTCAATAAAAATTGGGAGAACCAGATACTGATAGTGGGGGCACTGTAAGGGGGCAGGGATACGGGAATGCTCTGCACTTTCCAGTGGACTTTGCTATGAACCTAAAGCAACTCTAAAACATAAAGTTGATTAATTTTTTAAAAAGGCTAATGAATGATTGCAACAGAGACAAGTTTTGGGGCAGCAGCTTCAAGAGATGTTGCCAAGTAACCCTGATGAATGATATTCAGATCACTCACACAGAATGGTGCTCAGTGACCACTGCTACACTGGGCAGCCATCGACGAGCAACTCACACACGAGTTCATCTGACCTTTGCAGCAAGCCCAGGAAACGGACCCTAGGTCCCAAGTCGCAGGTGAGGGCGAGGGGAGCAGAGAGGGCAGTGGCCTTCCCAGGGTCATGGGATGCAGCAGGGGTGCAACCGGCCCAGCACCTCTGCCTGAGGCCCATTCACCTTCCCCGAGGTCACTCTGAGGAGGCCTCAGGGGGTCATATGAACACGAAACCCAGCGGAACTGAGGTCAGTTCCAGGCCCTAGCCTGTGGGCAGGGCACGGGGATCCGCTGGCCTCGGGGGCAGGGCCTGCAGACTGTGGGTCCTGCTGCTCTAAGTGCTTCTCCCTCCGCGGATCTGTTTGTGGAGATAGTGCGGAGACACCATCAGGGGAAACGTGTTTTTAAAGAATGCACGGCTCCCTACCCACGCATCCAGATGACCACTCCCAGATTGGGGCTCCCCTGAGTGCCCATCCAGAGTCCCCCCAGGGACTGGTCTTGGGAAGCCACCCTCGGCCTGTTCTGACTCGCTCTGGCCCAGGTGAGCGTGGCTAGGGAGCCAAGGGCTGGCCTCGTCTGCACCCTCCAGCACGTGGCCACTGGCCCCCAGAGCTTCCGAGCACTCGAAAAGCAGCTCTTGCAACAGAAGAGCAGAATTTCAAAACGTGCTTCGCTGGCTTGGTCAGCCGCCGCCCAGGAGAAGAGAAGCTGCCAGGGAGCCACACCAAGGCCTGGCTGTGCGTCCAGACGCCACTGCCCAAGGCCATCAGGTCTCTTGCTGTTTCAGAAAGAAGGAATCGCACAGAGGGTGGAAAAAGACGACCATGTGTTGGCTTAGCTCTGCGCCCTCACTAAGGCAGGGACTTCCAGGGGACGAAGACTTCCCTCCAGGGAGCACCGAGGGCTGGTGGCACCTCCCATCTCAGAAGGGCTGTCTGGGAGGAGAGCGCATCTGACTCAAGGAAAGGCGGTTGGGGACAGATGTGGCCCCAGCGCCTCAGGCTGGTGTTGGCCGGGTCTCTGGGACTCGCCCAGCAGGGCCAAGCTGCCTGCTGAGGAAGAACGGGTCCTGCCAGCCCCATGCCCGCCCCCAGAGCGACAGAAGAAAACCCTCCAAAAGGTGCACTGGGGACTGTCACACTCTTGAGAGCTTGGGACAACTAGGCTCTCAGTCCTGTTCCCAGTGAGACAGGACATGACGCTGGCTGAATGACTGGGGACAGGCCTCTCTGTGCCCCATGGGAGGAAGGCATAGACCAAGAGGCAGCTGCGCCGTGTGATGGATCTGATGCCCTCCAGACAGCTGCACCTGTGCCCTGGCCTGCCCGCTGCCCTGCGGCGTGGCATGGGGGCAGCAGGGGGCTGCAGGGCCTCTCTGGACCCCATGCAGGGACTTCCCCTAGGTGTGCTCCTGCTACAGATGCAGCTGGCGCTCCGCCCCAGAGAGCGTTCCCTGGCAAACAGAGTGACGCAGTGGCTGTGTCCCACCCGCTCTGCAGAAGCCCAGCTCAGACTCCAGCCGCCCTGCTGGGAGTGTCCTACCCACTAGGTGGAGGCCAACTCCCTATCCACTGTCAAGACTGGTTCAGGTTGCACCTCCACCAGGAGGCCAGTCCTCTAAGAAGGCCGCTGATGAGAGGTGTCAAGAGATCACCTGGGAGCACCCTGACCTGGTGAAGGTGGTCAGAGGCCCCCTGGGAGCACCCTGACCTGGCTCTACTGGGGTAATACGTCCCCACTGCACAGAGAGCTTCAGAAAGTAGAAGCTCATCAGGTCCCCGTGCCAGTCCAGGGTCTAGGTCAGCAAATTTTTAGCTGCCTTGTGTGAGGGAGGCCCTGGCTTCACCGATGGCCATGACCTGGGGGTACAACAGACCTCTGACCAACAGAGGTCAAAGGTTACATGGCAAAGGGCAAAGTGGTCCTCGCATGTCTAAGGCTTGTTTGCAAAGACTCATGGTCTGGGCAGAAGCACCCTCTGCAGAGTAGACGCTGCCCGTCCTGTAGGGAGAGAGGACAATTTATGGTTTTCTGTCACCTACCGCCTATTTCCCTGATGTCCACTGGGGAATCCCTGATGTCCACCCTTGGGTCTAGGCACATCGGCAAGGCAGGAAGCTGACTCTGTTTCAGTCCCTGGCTGACCCTGATGACCTGATCATGTGACCCAAGATGAGCCAATAAGATTTGCTCCAGTTGCTGGGGAGGGGCTTCTCTGTTCCCTGACATCATTGTGCTGGTCTGTTAGCTAGAGCCCAGAGCTGTGGCTGCCACCATGCTGTCCCTCCTGGCCTGGGCATGAGAAAATCAACAGTGGAGGAAGACAAGCCCTCCTAGACATGCTGGTCCTCACCTGAAGCCAAGGACCCTTGGGTTGGGCCACACCTGAAGCCAAGGGCCCCAGGATTTCTCAGTCCACTGGGTAATGAAGGTGCTGTCTGAATAACCCACCTCGACTGGGCTCCCGTCATCTGCCCCGGGATGGTTCTGACTAAATCAGGACCTCGAGGCAGCTAGGAAGGGAGGGTCTGGATCAAAGCCTAGTCCTCCTCGTTCCAATGCCCAGGATCTTCACAACCTGCACCACCACCCACTCTGCCTGCAGCTAACTCCCAGCAGCCACCGCGCCCACCACCAGTCCCAACAGCGGACACCGCTGGTGGGAGAGTGGGAGAGCCTGTGTGTACACCGTCACCGCACAGAGAATGGGGACGCTGCGTACCCTAAAGTCACCCTCTAGAAGCGAGCAGTGGTCTTTAGTATATCCACATGTCCACACATGAGGCCTGGCATCTGCGTCTAGAACATTTCATTACCCCCAAGGTCCCGTAAGCAGGGTCTCCCTGTCCCCCTCCTAGCCCCTGGTGACTCCTGGCTATCTGCTGGTCTTGGCCTGTCCTGGACACAACTGTCAATTTTAACTCATCAGAACCTTGGGATGCAGCAGTGGGGACCAATGTGGCCAAGAGGGTGGACTCTGGGGTCACCCATCCAGCCCCAAGTCTGAGTAGTTCCGACGCTCACCAGCTGCGTGACCTTGGGCAAATGAGGGCACCTTTCTGGGCTGCAGACGGAGGGGCTGCCCGGCTGTTTAGATCCCCGTCTGTGTAATGTGACAAGCTTGTCACGAGGATTAAATGAGTAGCTACATCTAGATATCGAGCAGAATGGGTCCCTCATCCAGTGCTCTGGAAATGCCAGCTGCTTCTGCTGCCATCAGGCACACAGGGGTTAAGGGGGTGCCCAAGGCCACACAGCTAGTGGGCGGCTGGGCCCGGGCCTCCTGACCGAACCCTCTGCTTTTCCATTACAACACGCTGGCCAGGCTGCCCCTCGGCGAGGCCTCGGCCCCCCCCACTCTCTCTGAGCCAAGTTACTTCTGGAAACACCAAGGCGCGGGGCCAGAGGGGAGGAGGGTGGCGGAATCATGAAATCATCTACGGGGCGTCGTGGCCCCTCTGGGCTGCCTCCCGCCCATCATGAGGAACAGCTGCGGCCCTGGCTGACCTCGTCTGCTTCCCTGTGGGTGGGGAAGGCTGTTCCCAGGGTGACGAGGACCCCAGAAATCCCGTGACTCTCCGCCGCGGCTGCCCATCTGGGACTCCTTAAAGCCGGCTCGGCTGGGCGCGGCCTCTGGAGGACAGTGCTGTGGTGGGGCCAGAGGGCTGGGCAGCCATTTACGTGACGGCAAACCCCCAACTGCCACCAATTATGCTGAGCTGGGAAGAAACCTAACTTTCAAGTTCTGGTCGGAATAAAGTTGAGTCAGGGCTGGCGGGGAGCCGGGGGCCAGGGTCAGGAAGAGCTGCGGTCAGACCCTGGCTCAGCCCTCCCCGGCACGTCACTGGGCAAGGCGCGTCTGTGCAGGGCTGACCCTGGGCCCGGGCCTCTGGCCTTGGGGTTTGGTCCCGCCACGTCATTTTAGATGGCACCCCAGCATCACGACCACGGGTCCTCTTTGTTGTTATATTTACCTGACGCTTGCAGCAGAGCAGAAGAGAATCATGATGTCTGGTCTGGCTGCTCGCTGCTGAACAAAACCGAGTTCACTCCATCTTAAATCACTAAGCAACTGGCATCTCAACTGCTTTGTGGGATGCTGCACGTCCGGGGTCTTCTGAAGGCGGCAGGATTGCCCAGTGGTGCTGGAGAAACCCATGACCAGCACATCCTTCCTCCCCTCCTGGTTAGGACACGGGCTTTGAAAGCTGTCTGTGTGACATTCTCAGGAGCAAGGATGTCTGCCATTAACATCACCTGTGCTGCCAGAGACCCACGAGGAGAAGGGACAAGATGGGGAAGGGCCGGGGCCTGTCCTCTGGTGCCCAGCTACCTAACCTCTGATCATGGCTGTGTCTGGAGCCACCTCTGTCCAGGTCTCAGTCCACACCCTGGGACTCCAGGGACTCAGGGAAGCTGGCTGTCCAACCACTCTCTCATGCTGACTGGGTGGAGATAAGCCTGGGACACACGGCGCGCTTGCTGGGCCTCTGAGATGTGACCTTTACTTCTCCCTCGTACCCAGTGTGTGCTGCAGCTGCGGGAGCCACTTCGCAGCCCCAGGGGTCTGAGCACGAGGCCTACATGGCAGAAGAGGGAGTGTGGAAGGAGGGAGAGGCAGGCGAACGCTGTGGGAGCTCCTGATGCAGCCGTGCCTGAAGCCCAGGAGCCCCGTGCTGCTAGGTCATTCAGCTACACCAGTCTAAAGCCCTCCCGCTCACTCTGGCAAAACTGAGTTGGTTCTGCCACTCAAAACAGAAGTGTCCTGAGTGACACAATGGAGGGAAGACCTCACCTCTCTGCAGCAGACAGAAAGCTGGGCAAGCTCCCCCGGCCCTCACCCCTGAGGCAGACGCTTCTTAAAGAGCTCTGTCCCAGCCTGACCTGAGGGCCAGCGCTTCTCACACCTGCTCTGAGTTGCCTGCCTTCCTGGCTGAGATGGCGCTGCTGGCCCAGAGGTCAGGACTGCTCTGCCCTCCTGGGATGGGGGACGCTGAGACCACAGGTGCACGTGGTGTTGGTCCACTGACTCATCCATCCATCCGTCCACCAAACACTGCCTGCTGGGCATTGAGTAGAACATCACGGAGACAGGCTGGGGCAGATGTACCTCTGCCCATGACTGTGCCTCTGCCCATGACTGCTGTCGTCTAGAGGGGAACATCACTGGGGACACTGGGCCCCCAGACAGGAAGTCAACACAGAGAAGCCCGCAGGCCCGTGGGGCGCAGGTGGCTCTTGCTGGCTGGGGAGAGTCAGACAGGCTTTCCAGAGGACGAGTGCCCTGAGGAGCTGCCCAAGTCAAGCTCAGGAGGGGCTGGGAATGTTCCAGGTGAGGCTCTGCAGGTACAAAGGCCCGGCGAGGGCGGGTCAGGGAACACGGGGCATTTCAGGAGCTGAGTGTGGAGGGAGAGGCTGAGGTGGGCCAGAGATGGGGCTGGACTCAGAGCCCAGCGGCCCCAAGAGCCCAGCTGCACCCAACAAGCTGAGCTCACCAGCAAATGAATTGGCATTCAAAACCCAGGTCAAGATGGCGCTGCAGAGCCACACGGGGAGGTCCTCTTGCAACAGCCCACAGCGCTGCCCCTCAGAGCACAGAGCATGAGGCACGGTGCCGATGGGGGAAGTGACGCACGTCTAAGTCTAGGAAGCAGAGAGTCCAGACCCTCCAGCCACAGTGCACAGCGACCAAGGAACCCCTGCCCACCCGCAGCCCAGCAGGACCCGAGTCCTCACCTGCAGGTCGAAGAACTTGCTGTAGCGCCGGTAAATGGCCTCGGTGGAGCCGCTGGACCACGTGACGCGGATGATGTAGACCTGCGGGGAGGGACAGACAGTGTCAACACCAGGCCTCTTAAGACGGAGTTTGGTGGCTCTCCGACTCTCCTGCCCTCGCCCTCCCGCCAGGGGTGTCCAGACGCCAGCCCCTCCACCTCGGACTCCTGGGATTCCAGAATCTGCCCCGTGACAATGACCCACCCACAAAACGAAGGGAGCCAGGGTCCTTGGTCCTGGGAACCCGGGGAGCTCGAGGCCCAGGGCAGACCCAGTCTCCACGGCAGCCCTGCTGAGGTGGGCTGGAGGCTCCTGGCCCTCTCCGAGCCCAGCTGCCCCCTCAGAAGGAGGGTACCAACTGCAGGGTCAGACTGGTGCCAAGGATGAAGTGGCGTCAAGTGTGGGGGGTGGCAGCCCAGGGGTGGCACCTGGCCGCCTTAGAGTCCCCGTGGGCAGAGCCATGCTGCCCTGCCCATCAGTGAGGACGCGGCCATGTCACTGTCCCCCTCCCATCCCAGTGTCTCTGTGAACTGGGTTGTTGACAAGACCGGCTTCCTCCCCTTCCCCAGACAGACCCGGGATCTGACAGAATCAAGGATGGGGATCGTGTGTCACCCAAGCTTGTGGCTTCTATGGCGCATGACAAGGGCCTGGGCTTTCTCCCTCATTCCCCTTTTGGTGCATTGAGGGCTTTTGTGCAACGAAGACAATTCTGACCTACGGGGAAAGTTCACCAGGGACACAACGGACTCTCCACCTCAAACGCATCACGGCTGGCCCTGTGTGTCCGCAGGGTCCACCTCTGCAGACGGAAAATACTGTCCTTACTCTCTTGACACAAGATGGCAAGAACTGACACAGCACCGACACTGACCTTAGGGACCACAAGCCCTGCGGGGGTGGGTCAAAGCACGAAGATTGTGTGTAAATACTACATTCTTTCATCTGAGCATTGAGGACTTTGATAGCTTCGAGGCTCATGGACCCAATCCCAACAGAGACCAAGGAACATATAATTAAACTCACCGTACACAAACATCTAGGCACATGCACACACACACACTCACACCCCTACCTCTCATGATTCCCAGCACCCACTTTCTACAGTGTCACCAAGAATACTGATTGACAGATGCTCCATCATTACCCCTGGAGAGATGCAGGGTCGCGGTCCTACGATTCCTGCTCATTTGCATCATGTGATCCTACGCGGCTTTCTTGCATATGTGTTTCTGTGCAAGGAGCCCTATTTAATACGCACTGTGCATCCTCAAACTCTGAGCTCACGGCCGTGGCTCCAGGACTCGTGCCTGAACCAGGCTTCTCTCTCACACACATGTGGGGCCCATCAGGAACCCAGACGGCACCTGAGCACTGTGCAGGGGCCATCGTAAATCACAAACCACCAACAAAAAGCCCAAAAGTGCAAAAAATAATGGCACAGTAGATCTGATAAATTTAGCAAATTAGTATAGCAGACCACAGAATCAACACAGGGAAACCAGTGGCTTTTCTGTACACCAACAATGAACTTCCTAAGAAAGAAATCAGGAACTTAAAAAAACACAGAGGATTAACCCTGACCAAGGAGGTGGAAGACCTCGACTACGAGAATCACAAAGCTGAAGACGGAACGAGAGCCACCTGGAGGACGGCAGCCCCACCTACCCTGTGGTGGGCTGGCGGGGTGCTGAAAAATGGCATGCTACCGAAAGCAACCTATGGATTCAGTGCGAGCCCCACTGAAGGACCAAGGACACCACTCACAGATCTAGAAAAGTAATCCTGAAATTCACGGGGAAGATCAAAGGCCCTGAGTAGCTAAAGCAATCAATCCCGAGCAAAAAGGGCAATGCTAAGGCCATCACAGGGCCCGACTGCAAAACCCACCATAGAGCAACGGGCACGTGACCTACGGAACAGACACGGAGACAGGCCCACTCAGCCACAGCCATCGACTTGGGGCCAAGGTGTCAGAAACAGGCTGGAGCAAGAGCCTCCCGGCCAAGAGTGCTGCAGCTCCTTAGGCAGAAGGAAGCCAGGTCCCAATCTCTCCAGAGGAGTCAAAGACCTAGAGATTAAGACCTGAAACTCCAAAACTGCTGGAGAACACAGGGAAGCACTTCAGGACACGGGCCAGACAAGGACTTCCTGAAGAGGACTCAACAGCTCAGGACACAACAGCAAGGACTGAGATGGACAAGTGGGGCCGGCCAGCTGAGGAGCGTCTGCCAGCCCAGGAGGTCATCAGCAGAGTGGAGGGACGGCCTGCAGGGGGCCGTCCCTGCTCAGCTCTTCCAGAAGAGGCTCAATGTCCAGAACACGTGAAGAACTCAGGAAAACCAAAACACAGACGATTCGATCAGTGGGCAGATGAACTGAACAGGTGATTCCCCAAAGAGGAAGTAGGGACGGCCAACAAATACATGAAAAATGCCCAACCTCTTTCACCATCTGGGAAATACAAATCAAAACTGCACCGAGGCTCTGACTCACTCCAGTCAGAACGGCTGGCAGTCACCAAAAACAGAACAAAACAGAAAACCACCACACGACACTGTTGGGGGGTGTGAACCAGTACAGCGCAAGGGAAGAAGCATGGGAGTCAAACAAACCCGATCCCGATAGACCGGCCTGGGGGTGTGCTTCAGGGAATTACAGCCAGGGCACCCCAGAGACACCTGCACAGCCACGTCCCTCACAGCGCGCTCAATGGCCAGGTTACGGCATGAGCCAAGGCACCATCAGCACATCATGGATAAAGGAAACATGTGCGTGAAGAGCATCATCAGACATAAAGAAGAATGAGCTAGGCTGGGTGCCCTGGCTGTGATCCCAGGAGCTCGGGGGCTGAGGCAGGAGGATTATGACTTCACAGCAGCCTCAGCAACTCAGTGAGACCCTGTCTCAAAATGAAAAATAAAAAGGGCAGGGGATGCGGCTCAGTAGTTGAGCACCCTGGGTTCAATCCCTGGTACCAAGGGAAAAGGAGGAGGAGGAGGAGGAGCTGGCAGAGTCACACTGCAATCTCAGCTACTCGGGGCTGAGGCGGAAGGATTGCAAGTTCAAGGCCAGTCAGGGGAACTCAGCAAGACCCTGCCTCAGATGAGATTCTAACCAGGGCTGCAGAGGGAGCTTGGTGGAGAGAAGAGCACTTGCCCAGCATGTGGGGGCCCTGGGGTCAACCCCAGGCCTGGAAAGAAAATCGGGAAGGCGCATGCAGGAGATAAGACCAGTCATCTGCAGGGAAGTGGGGGAGCCGGAGAGCCCCATGTTGAGCAAAGGAGCCAGACTCAGGAAGAAAAGTGTCGCAAGTGTCTCCTCACGTGCGAATCTAGGAGGACAAAGATGATCTGAGAGTGGCAGGGATGGGGGGAGGGCCGGGCTGTGGTGTAAGCCGTATGCATGTTCCCACGGCTGCCGTGACACCTGCGAGTCTGTGTCATTAGAGTGCACTGGTGACAATGGCCCTGAAGGGACCAGGAGGAGGACACTTGTTTAGAGCCAGTGGGCACTCATGAGAGTGTCACAAGTGCTCACTTGGGGCTATAAATGAACCCGAGCAGATACGTGTCTTCCCACACAGGTCGTCGACCGTGCTGTGTCCGGATGTGTGTGCAGGCCCGAGGTTCATGGCAGGGCGGCAGGCTACGCAGGACCTCGAGGACTCTGACCTCGATGCCTTCTGTACTTCTAGAGTTGTGGCGGGTACAGCTGCTCCTCCACCTGCAATGGGGCCGTGCCCAGCGAACCCACCCCCTTGCCGGATGTCACACTGATAGGAGCACCAGGAATGTGACGGGACCAATCAGTGTGCGATGGGTAGAAGGCTGCGAGCAACACAAGGATGTGACTGCAGAGCTCAGGCCTAAGGGAGTGGTGTGCAAGTCCACCCCAGGGCGTCCACCCCGGACCCCACCCAGTTATCAGTTGCAAGCACAACTGAACTCGGACTTGAAAACCCAGACTTCTGGGGGGCGGCAGGGAACCGGACAGAGAGACTGAGACCTCTGCCACTTTTGCCCCTCCCCCCGCCACCCCGCACCAGACTCCCCTGGCCCGGGTGGTATTCCAGGGACCTGGACTTAAGACACGTCACAGGTGAGCGTCTGGGCCCCTTGGGTGTAGACTCAGTTGGGACTTAGAATTAAGATGTGTATCTGGAGTGTGATGGACATTAATAAAATAGGCTTGATTGCATCTAACTGCGCCTCAGACAGAGTCAATAATGATCGCTCGTGACACACACTGCGTGACTCTGTCATTCCCCTCATGACTGTGGGGCTGACTGGGCCGTGGCTCTCTGGACCGCCTAGCGTCACGAGGGTGTTGGACGGCACAGCTAGCCTGGGAAAAGGTCCAAATTTGGAATTTTTAGTGTGATTTATAGTCGAATGGCAAGTCAACCCGTCCTAAGTCAGGAACAGTCTATTTCTAACCAGAGAAAAGAACAGCACCTCCTAGGACCAGAAGAACCAGCCTGGGGACGATGTCTTAGGAGCCCCAGCCGTGTCTTCACTGGGCCCTGGCTCAGGCCCCGGGCCTGGTTCAGCTGAGGGCAGAGGGCTCTCCAGGGTGGGGTAGGAGGACATTCACAGGCTGGGGACACGGTGGGGTGCAGGAAGACAGGCCCCTGAGCTCATGGAGCTGGGGTGAGACCTCAGCCTCTTCACGCCCCCGTGTTGGACGCCGGTCCTTCCCACCCACAGGCCACCGACAGGACTGAACGAGAACTTTTGTAAAGCTCCAGAAATGGAAGAAATGTTGGTCAGAATCTCTGCTCACACTGGGACTTGAAGGGAAATGCTCTGTGACTCGTCCCGTCCTTCACCCTCACCTCCCGTGGCAGGTCCAACCCCAGGCCAGCGCACCGAGGCCCCACTAAGCACCAGGAATTTGGGCTCCATTTCCAAGCGCCAGTCAGGGGGGTCAGTTCTGCCAGGAGTAAAGACTGAAGCCAGAATCAAGCTGAGCGGCCCCTGAGAGGCAGGAGGGGCCAGGCCTGGGCAAAGCCAAAGGCAGCAAGAGGCCTCAGCAAGATC